ATTTGACTTTTTGTCTCCTCTTACTATTCGCTTCAGAAATGGTTGGATTTCATTTCGTTTCAGCAAAGAATCGCAGATGTTTTTTCATTAAATTTTTCATGCTGTACCCAAACATCGAGCATATTTTTGTAGTCAACCTTTTTTAAATAGTTCAAAATCGTTTGATGATGAATGTTAAGTTTCTTAGCGATGTCATGGCTGCTATATATATGGTATGACACAATGTGATTGGTAGCACTGCACGTCTGCAACGGTATCTATTGACCAAATACGAAAAGACTTTTTTGACTATAAAATATTTTTGGTCATAGCTCCTCTCGCCCTCTTTCAATTCACATTAAATAAATAATCGACTATTTTCATTTGGATTAAATGGTTTTAAATAGTTTTAATGTTAAAATTCTTTTTTTTTTTTTTGTTGTAGTACCTTATTTATGATAACAATCTTCCGACTCATTTAATTCACGAAAGCAGTGGCTTTCTAATTAAAATTGCGCTCACATATGCACATATGCATGCAACTATTTTAATGCATTGAGACCCACAGTGCTTCACAAATAGAGCAGAGGCAGCGTTGATAATATCATGATACATACATACAAAATACTATCTACAAATTTACATGGAAAATCGCATTTTGTTAGACAATTTTAAATTTTAATAACAACAATAAAAATGAAAGAAAACCAATCGTTGTGGTGTTTCCTACTCATGTTACAGCTTACTCTGTGCTAATGCGCATGCGCGCCTGCTCCCTACCTGTAAAACCCGATAGCCAACACATGAAGAAGAAGAAGAACACATGCCAGACCTGACTGTCATTTCGTGGGCTTTTTAGTGTACATATATATGTATGCATGTGCCGTTTTCATCGTAAACGCATGTAAATGTATTTTACTTCTCATGTTCATACATACAAGTATGTACCATACATATGGGCATAATGGCAAGACAGTCGGCGAATGTGTTGAACGATATACAACACACTCGAATTGCTCGAATTTTGCCGGTTTGCGCAGCGAAGTTCGCTAGATTTCGAGGTAGTACGGCTAGCTTGTCTAGTGGAAAAACTAGCCAGTAGACTTGGTCATAACTGCTGCTCAACTGCTGATGTGTGTGCGCGCGTGCACGCTGCCGCCGAATGCATAGTTGATCTTACCGGCTGGCTGTCATTGATTGCTGGGTTCTGTACATACAAATACATATGTATGTATGTATATAGATATGTATGTATTGAGGTGATGGCTATTGTATTTGCTTTGGCGTCGGTGGTCTTGTCGATTGGCGATTTGCTTATAAAGTTGTTGGCTGCTTTGAAGTCGACGCGCTGTGTCACTACCGTTCGCTAAAGGCTCATTTGAAGTAGCGAAACTTGGCTGCGACGCTGTCACCACGATTGGGCATATGACATGAATCTAAGCAATGAAAATGTTTATATTAACACATACACAACTTATTCCTAGCACATACATATGTATGTATGTGTCTAACATACATACACGAAAAACTAGAACGCATCTTGAGGTTAGCAGCGTTGGTTCAACGCCTTGGGGGCTACTCAACCACGGCTATTTGCCGGCCATTCGGCGGACCGGCTTTGCCATAATCGAATTTCAGTTTTACTTGCCCCGAGTGAATTTCATTTACATACTCACATGCATATACATACATACATATGAATGTATGTACATATGTAAATATTACGCATTGGTGTATTCAGATTAACGTTAGTACTTACAGTGGGCCAGCGATAGCGGCTTCGTCCATAGCATGTGTGGGAGTAGCTGTTGTTGTTCACGACGACGCGTCATGTTCCACGCCAACGATCGTTTGTGCGATATGTGCCATTAATGTCTCAAATTATTTGTAATTTTTCATGACACATTTCTTTTTCAATTTTGGTTATGTTGGGCGTTGGGAGTTTTTTTGCTTTACTTTGATCGTGTTTCACTGAATTTGGTTCAAGTTTTTTCTAAATCCTTATGCGCTGACAAAGATGTTATTTGCTAATTGTTTTGTTTACCCATATGGATGAGATTTGGCTTGAGTATGGCCTGTCTTCGGGTAGTTCATATTTGGGATGCTGTGTTAATGGGGTTATCGCTTGTGTGTGGGCTAATAGTATATCATAATCTGTAATAAAGCATATGGCAAAGTATTGATTTTTGTTGTTGTAGAATAGTAGATCTACGTATTCTGCAGAGAACATTAGTGGCGTTTAAGAAGTTTCATGGTATATACATGTGTATATATACATATGTATACATGTACAACTAATTGCCACTTAACGGTTTAATAGAAAGCATTCTGCAAAAGGTATTTTGAAGAGACACACTTATGGTTTATATATACACTTGAAAGTCAGCACAAATAACTTAAACCGATATATGGGAGCTAGGAGAGGATATAGGTCTTCACTATGACTGAGTAACTGATTGTAAAGTTAAATAATCTAAGAGGTGGGGTTTTTCCGGAAAGTAACAAGAGTGAGTCAACGAAAAAAAGATATTGAACCAATCGTTATAATTATTTAAAAACTTTCAAAATAGGCTCCTTCTGCGTCGATGCCTTGAGAGCCGAGGTATATGCTGCCTTTCATTGGCCTTTTCAGCTAAGTAAACAAAAATTTTTGGGGGGCCAAATCTGGGCTGTAGATGCCTGACTTGGTTAGGTAGCTGTTCACAAGAAAGGCGGGTGAGCCGGGGCCTTGTCGTGTTGTAACTTTCAATCGGGGGCAATGTCCTATCGGACCCGATGGACCCTTCGTTTGAATCTTTTGAGGACTTCCACGTAAAACTTGGTGTTGACGGTTTGTCCAGGAGGAACCAATTCATGGTGGACGATGCCTTTGATGTCAAAAAAAAAAAGGCAATGAGCGTCGTCATTGCCTTTTTGGGCGAGGGGACGCTAGCGTGAGCCACGGGAAAAATTTTCTTTGTCTCGGGATCATACTTAAGTCTCCATAACCCGTTACCTGTGATTACGTTGTACAAAAATCGGGGGTCACTTTCACACATGTTCAAAGTTTCTTGGCACACTTCCAATGCATTTTCAGCTTGCACCACTCAGAGAAATACCTCGCGAGAAAATGTTTTTCCTGACTCTCCAGGTGCTTGGAGGCAACTGACCAGCTGCTCGTTCATTAGCTAGGAATGCTCTCTACCTCAGAGATCTACTGAAGTTATGGTGGTATCTACTGATGTATATGTAGTGGTCACGTTTAATGTCCTCAGGTTTTGCCGAAGCGGTCGTTTGAGTTTGCTGAATAGCTAAAAATCAGACGGAGCTAAACCAGGCGAATGCGGCGGTTGCAGCACGATATCGGTTGAAAATTTGGCGAAGAATTCAGGAAGAACGAATGCAGTATACGACGGTGCATTGTCGTGGTGCAAAATCAATATTTGTTCGGCCACTTTTTACGAATAGCTGCGCGCAAACGACGCATAACACTCAAATACTATTAATTGTTGACAGTTTGGCCAGTTGGAAGGAATTTAGAGTGCAACATGTCTGTGAACCTCTCATTTGTTTAAAGAGGTAATAACAAAATTATGATATAATGTACATACCATTATTCGTTTAATAACGATAACCTTAGGAATGAAAAATTAAATAAAAATATATTTGTTAAATTAGGTGCTTTTGGATATTCATATTGGAGTTATATAAAAAGAGAAAATATGCATGTATTTTAAAATTATTAATTAAAAAATTCAAAAAATGTTATTATACTTTTGTTGAGCAGTACTGGCAGCTTCCGCTGACCGTGAAAAAATTCGGTAATTGACATATTATACTTAAATAAGTAGATGTATATGTAAATCGCGAATATGGACACGTATGTATGTATTAGCTTAGTATATATAGTATATATTATATCAATGTTTTAGCAATCGACATACGTGTGTACATATATATTTTTAGACATAAAATCTGTGCGAATATTCTTAATTTACCTCTTAACCTCAAACTAATGAATAATTTAGAAAACTGACGTCATTCCAGAAACGGCACCATGGACAAAGCTCTGGAAAACGGTGTGAAGGAGAATGTCAATTTTCTTTTAGTTGCAAACAAAGCGATTTTATTTAACGATTCCGTCATATTGTGAATATTAATTTATCATATTCGCTTATAGTCGAATTTCTGGATTTCGAGCGAAAACTAGTTTCCAAGCCATACGAAAATAATAATAGAAATTAATGATCTTAAGTAAATTTTTGTTCTTACCTTTTCATTACCGGCTGAGTTTGTTCGGTGTCTTGATCATTTAGCGTGTGTGTTAATAGCGAACGCCTCAGTCAATTCTTTGCTCGGAGTTTTTGTTTTGTTTCAGTGTTGTCTCTTTTTGTGGGCATTTGTTTTTGTTCAAAATACTCCCAATATTATTGGGTATGTATGAATGTGTATGTGTGGAAGTGGCGTTGAAGTCGAAGTGCGGCGGACCCAGACGCCCAAGCAAGATTTCAAATCGATCGAGCACGTCACTAAACTAGCCAATCATATACGATTCGGCATCGCACAATTTGCTCTCTTCGGTTGGCGATTACTGGCGATCACCACACACAGTTCTGGGCTCAATAAGCGGCATCTTGGAAGACACCTTTGGGAACATGTTTGAGCCTTACATATTCGGTCAAAACAACATCATCGCGATACCAACACACATGTACGAGTATATGACTCAAGTGTATGTATATATTTGTATGACACCTTCTCGTGAATGCTTGGCCTCATATACATACATACATTTGTACGTGTACTTCTAGTTGTGTGTAACTATTTACCTTCTCATCCGCTGCACACCGGCTCGATCGGCCGGTGAATTGCTCCGCTCGCGCGCCTGATCAACTTGTCTGCTCGGCTCGTTGGCGAGTGAAGCGGAGTGGAGCTAAATGAAGTGGCGCAATGAGCACGCGATCGGTTGCGGCTTTTCAATAGCTGCCAAGTCGCTAACGCTTTTTCGCTTTCATTCATCTTGACTTTGAATCAGTCTGTCTTTGGCGCTCGATCGAAACGTACGAATAACTTCTTCGTTGGTAAAACTCAGAAAGTAAAAATTTTATCAAAATCGAAATATAAGAGTAACATAAAAAAAGTGAACGCAAGTGAAATAAAATACAAGAAAAAAGGACTGTGTTGCTTATCGCGTGAATAAAGAAACTGAGGTGTACTAGCTAGAGATAATATATAACAACAAACAAAAAAAAAAAAATATTTGGCGTTTGTGTAGCGTCCGGTGAGAAAAAGTATAACTTTTAAGTGATCAACATTCATAGGAATCTAGCTCAATACCAACATATATTCGTGCGCGGATTTGTGTTTTCTTTGCAACCTACCTTCTTTGTGTTCTACGCCCCATATCGATTGTAGCGAAGTACTAAGAACGCTTTCCTGCTAAAAAGGTTAGTATGACTTTGTGCACACATGCATTAAGGAACATACACACACACTTGCTTGTAGTCATGAGCAAAAATGTAGGTGTCACATCGGTGCCTTTAATTGTTAACTCAAATACGCTTATGTGCATGTGTGTGCGTGTGTACTTTCGCCCATTTTTTATTGGTTTGACGTGTCACCTCGCAGATTCATCTCGTCCATAACTGGCGATGATGTGAATCTCTGTCTCTGTCTCCGTGTCTGTGTATGTGTAGATTTGTAGTCACCGTTTGACTTTGGTGACCAATTACGGTATTCCATTGGCGAAATGTCGACAATATTCCAGAGAATTTCAGTTTTTTGCACATTGAATTTGCCATTTTTATACAGACTTCGAATTTTATGGCTGTAAAATGCGAATTTTACATCAACCACTTGGTGCGATTGAGGATAACAACTATTTGCTTTTGGCATAATGACCAAAGTGGTTGAACGCTATTGAATTTAGATAATTTTAAGATTTTTACATTTTAGGAAAAGCAATTAATTTGGAATTTCAATGAAAAACCTTAAGTGAAATTTGTATCTCCTGACAATTTTTCCAATTAAATAAAAGGAAACATTTTTATTTTCTTCAATGCAATGTTCAGTCGTTATTGGTCCTTAATAGTTTAACAGCATTCGACTTTTAAGGCATTATTAACTTTTTGCAAATATAACTCAGTTCAAGTATCTGTATCAGTATCTGCTGATACCAAAAATCGATTCCATATAGTGAACTAATTTGAATAGGACAGACTTTAATCTGGAGACCTAGCACTCTTATACCTAGTGACGCTTTCCTTTGTCGGATGCTTTATCAAATTTCTTCTATGATTTCAAGTAAGCACTTGATGCTTTTAAAACAAATGTAGAAGTCTACAAGTTTTAAGTAAACTTCTAAAGTTTAATGCTTTTAGATAGAAAAAGAAAACAGGAACAAAATATGTGATTAGTTTTTTATACTTGTGAAGATTACTCATTCATTAATACTCATTAGTCTTGTGATTTTAAATGATGGAGTAAACTTATTAATTTGAATAATATAATAATGTGTAATACAAAAATTGTTTCCATATAGAGAAATCGGCTTACCACATATTTTGTTTCTCATACATTGTATATGATTCTCATCTATTATATGCACAATAAAAGTAATAAATTATTGGGTAGTCGAAAAAGTCTTTTCGTATTTCTAATCGAACTTTAACTTATGATTATTTTATTTATAATAATAAATAAACAAACAAATAAGTACCAATTTGATCTACCACTTTTTGCCATTTTTCCCGCTGGAGATATTATTCCATCAGTATAAAACTTTCATCAGTGTAAATCAAAATTTCGAAAATTCCAGTTCGGTAGCGAGCGAACCACGAATCCATATCGTCTCCATAAACTTCACAAATTTCATTGGTGGCTTGCGTGGCACTCTTCCCTTTTTATACAAAAATTTCAAATTATAACTAATTTCTTCATTATTTTCATTCATTTTTGAACAGCTGTAACTTTTTTTCAACTGTCCCGAATAAGAAGTCAAAAGCTATATATGTGTATAATTTTTCGTACCAATATTTGTTAATATTTTATTTTAGAGTTTAAAGTTGAATTCTCCATGATATTCGATTTTTGAAACTATATTTTCTATGACTAATCCACGTTTCCACGTATGATCCTCGCATTAATGTTAGTTATAATTGAATTGGATCAATAGTTGCTTGTAAAATAAATTGTGTTAATTATTAAACATCTGAGATTCGCTTAATTACCCAATTATTAACCAAGTTGGATATGATATGTACCTATACACCTGTAACTGTACAGAAAGCTGGTAACGTCGACCATAAAAGTCTTATGCAATAATGACTATATAGAGTCGCAATAATTAATATATTCACCAAATCACTAAAACGAAATATATAGATTAAACGAATTTGTTTAGAAAGTAGTTTATGTCAGTTAATTGTGTTAAAATGCTAATGAATGCGGAGAAATAGCAAATTTAAATTCGTTCATTTTACAAAAGTACAAACATGCATACATACAAACGCATATTGCTGTTGGGAAATTGTCAACAAGTTATGTGATGAACCAGGACCTGTTCTTAAACATAGATTTTAAAGTCAATATATTCAAAATGTGCCGATAAGACATCCTCACCTCCTCCATTGCGCGGATATTTGTATATAACTTAGTTTTTGCTAATCTCCACTGCCATAAGAATCACAATTTGTATGATCATATTTGCTAATTTCATTATTGTGTATGCATGTACATATGTATGCGTTTGCAAGGTTTTAGAAAGCATCTAATATTTAAATCACTACCTGCCTGTTTTTAATGATTTTTATTTGGTTTTAAATTTTGCGAGAGCAATAATAGATGGCTCGACGATTAAACCGTCAGCTCATTTGTAGATTCGTTTCACTTTAAAACTGTGAATAAATGTGAAGCCGCGTATATTATTAGCAATAATTAAATTTAGACAAACACACACATACATACATAGGTTTATATGGTATCATTTTTCGAATAAAATGTTTTGCGAAAAAATATAAAAAAAATTTTTTTTGTTAGCTTGTAAATAAGAAATTTAATTTTTGAGATTAATTAACTACTTATTATTATAAAAGAATCGTGCTATGAGCAGCCTGGAGCTTTTTCACCTTTTATATCTTAAAAGCATCAAAAAATCTGCAATTATTAAATAATTTTTGTACATTTTTCCCGCAAACACAATTGCATTTTTCGCAATTAGGTCGTCGCAATTGTTGTTATAATTATTTTTTAATTTTTTCACGTTCACCTCGAACTTGTATCTACAATTATTAACAGCAATTTGTTATGGAGCACTTAAAGCACTCATTTTCCGCGTCGCACATGTACCCACGCTTTTGTATGCATGTACATATACATATGTATGTATGTATATGCATGTTCGCTCTAACAGTACCTTTGTTAACCAAATGCGAGCTGACACTGAAGTCTGGCTTTAACGATGACGTAGGTGTGCTGCCGCTGTTGCAGCCTCTGTCGGCGCTATTTATTCTGCCGCCGATGTTATTATTACTGACATAATTACGGTCTTGCACGTACAGAAATATACATACACAAATTTTTACACACCATAATGTGTATTATGGCAGGTGCCATTATAAGACCAATTATTTCGCACTTAATACATCTTTGAGTCTGTATGTACTATATGTTCATATAGTAATAATAATAACAAATGCACAAAAAGCCAAAAAATACCTTCAAACAATTAACTTCGTTGAAGAATATTAAAGTAAATGAAATCAAAATTCTAAATAAAATAGGAACGAAATTAATAAATGCCCGTGTTGCGTTGACCTCGAAATGACACGAAAGTCCTCATCAGAATATAAATACTTTATCATTTAAGCAATTTAGCGCAGCGCAGCGGAGCAATTCATCAACGCACTGCCATCACAAACAGCAGACAACAGGTTGGCAGCGCAGGTTCCGTACCTCACACCTGCGGCTCGACTTAAGACTTCTTGCGAGCTTTGCTGCCAATGCGACGCTTCGCTTGTTTTTGGCACAACTATATACATATGTGTTTATTTATTTATTTTGTGCATATTTGTTTGCTTTCATGTTGTTGAGCGAAAAGCGAAATTTTTAGAAATTACGTCATTTTGCAAATCGTCTGTCGGCAATGGCCATGCTCAAGCCGGAATTTTTTGCAATAAACCGTGTCAAAAAACACAATAATCGAATTAAAAAGATTTTTTTTTTTGGTGACACACTTGATTGTACATTAATTTGCACTCACATACATACATATACTGAAGCATGCTTTGCCACTGTGAACATGCATACATACTTACGTTTCTAGTGTCTTTATGAAAAGGCGTTAATTGGGGAATGGAGTTATTTTAACATTTTGAAGATCTTTATTACATTTATGTGGAAGTATGATAACTTTCAGTTTACCTTTAGCTTATACATTTGTAAGTAAGTAAGTAAAAGTGATTAATGAAGAAAAAAACTTTTTATGAAGATTTTCATCTTGATTTTGATGTGTTAGTTCGAATAGCAGCCATGTGCAAAAAAGCAAATTTCGTAGTTATCTTGTTTGCATTTGTATCGATGAGTTCAGATTTACAGTTATGTGTGTAAAATTTCAGATCGATTTTCTATAAACTGAAGGACTATACATATGTTGATAGACATATGAACAAGGCTAAATACATATATTTACTAAATAGCCTCATTTCGCCACGCTGATCGTTTGTATACTTGTTGATTATCCGACATTTCCTTCTGGGTGTTACAAACTTTTTGAGAAACGTAATATGTTTTTTTAAGACTATAAATATTCTATTGGAAGGGTTTTAAGGTATACTACATAGCATAAAATTGCGTTAAATATGAGTTATATTATTACTATACAGAGCATGTTTCTCTGATACTGCTGATGTTATTGTAGAATTTTAAATATTTTCCGAAAAGTTGTAGATGCTACCGTCGAATTGGTAAACCGTGGCATTTGCAAACCTTGGTTCGGTTCTTGGTTTTGGTTTTCTTTGGAAAGCACAATTGTCATTGTCAACAATAAAAATTTAAATATATTTAATTTTTAACTAATTGATTTTGGATCTTGGATTCACAGTTCTTAGAGCATTTATGCTTTGACATGGGTTTCAAAAGGAGTTTGAGTGGCTAAAAATGTTTCATTTCGAAAACCTTTTGTGATTAACTGGCACAAATGGCATAAATACCGGTTTAGTCATATTTCTTAAATTCTAAATTAATTGCCCTCCCAGAAATGAAAAATTTTAAACTTCATTTCGTAATTTCAAGTCTAGCTGGACTGGTTTTTCAGACAGGTAAATAAATTATAAAAAAAAACTAGTAAATACATAACTCAGAGCGAATATTAAATAAACAATAATTCGCAGAAATTTACCGCCTACAAGCTTGTCCCTGTCCGTGCGTGTATATGTATCACGATATATGTATATTGTATAGCAAAGAAAGCTGGTTTGCACTTTTCACTCTCCATTATGAAGGTTGGACTTACTGTTGTTTCTATTTGTTTTTTTGTTTTTTGTGCAAAATTATAAATATTATAATTTTAGTTGCTTTTTACGGCCGAGATTGCCGTGAATTATTAGCTTCGCATGGAGTTGTCGTGTGCGTTCATAAGCTTTGCGTTTGCTTTTTTACTTTCACAACATATGTGTATGGTACATACATACATGTATATATGTGTATGTATGTGTGTCTGTGTAGTCAATATTTGCTTTTGCATGAACGGTGATATCATTTTTGGATTTGCGTCTACTAATATTTGTGCTCACAGTTAAAAAATAAAAATAATAATAAAATGTTTGTATGTTTGTACGTTCATTCATATGTATATAAATAAACAACTTCATAGAATAATAATTTTCAAGTTTAATTAACGTAAACAAGTAGTTGTGTCATGACCGAGCGGTCACCTACACCTACATAACGATTATGATGTTTAGTAAGTCATAACTGAGAGCAAAATCAAATAACTCACAAATTCGCTGGAACGCTAACACTCTCTGATTTTGCTCTCTTGTGTAAATAAATAATTTGTTTACCTTAGTAATTTTTATGACAATAGCCATTATGTATGTATGTATGTGTGCAAGTGAGTATTTCTGCATTACAGTTATCAGTGACCTCTTAAATTTATAAATAAATGAATACATCATCACTAAATTGCACATTATCGCCAATGAAGCACAATATGAAATGTACGTACTTGTATATAATATGTACATATGTTTGTATAAACAATTTGTATACATACATATGTAAATTAAAAAATATACTTAAAAGTAAAAGGAAAGCAATAATATACTTAAAATTGCCAGATACTTTTCTTTTGCAACAGCTGATTAAATATAGGGTCCTATCGTCAAAAAGAAAAATGATAAGACTTCAGGCTGGTGAGTATATTTGGAATTTGACTTCGTTTGTTTTATTCATTTAGATATTGACTGTTGATTGAGAGAGTTTCACGAAATTTTGTTAATCAACAGGCAATAATAACATTATTGAATTAAGTAATTCATTGTTTTCAAACCAATGAGACCCAATGCGAAATTCAGTCAATACAAAAATAAAATAAAGAGCAATATTAAATTCTTTGCCAACTATATGAGCAAAAAATAGTAAAATTAATCTCCTTTTAATGGTTTCAATTGACTAAAAACGGTTTCCCAGGAGTTTGCCGAATAGCCAGAAGTCACAAAAAGCTAAATCATGCGAATATGGTGGCTGCGGCACAATATTGGTTGATAATTTGGCGAAAAACTCACGAGGCATCAATGCCGTATGTGACGGTACATTATAGTGGGGCAAAAACCAAGAGCTGCCGGCCTCTTTTTACAAATAACTTCACTCAAACGACGCATAACACTTATATAGTATTCCCTGCTGACAGTTTGGCCGGTCGGAAAGAGCACCACATCTCGATAATCGAAGAAAACTGCCAACATAATCTTGATTTTTGACGTGATTTCACTTGATGTTTGCGGCCTCGGTTGAGCTTTGCAACGACATTCGACAGATTGATAGTCTGTTTCCTGGTTGTAAGCATAGATCAAAAGCTTTTCCCTAGTAATAATAGCTTTCCTGACATCCTGATAGGTTGTTGTTTACAGACGTTATCGCGACGCTGTTTTTCTAAAAAACTTACCTGCTTTGGAGCCAACCGCGTTTTCACTTTTCTTAGACCCAAATGATCTTTCAAAATGGTTTTTGCTAATCCTTCCGATATTCCAACAATGCTGGTAAGATCTCTGGTCATTAAACGTCGATTCTCAAGCACCAACTTATTTATTTTATTGACGTGTTGATCATCTGTTGATGTTAATGGCCGCCCTGGACGTGGTTCGTCGTCAACGCGTTCTCACCCATCTCTGAATAATTTGTACCAATCAAAATTATTTGCCGACATTTTCAAACATTTGGAACGTTTCGGAATCACAAATGTGATTCCGCACACAATAAATAATGGAATTTCTTTGTTGAATAATTTCATTTATCGTGAAAATCGACGAATGAACTTAATGTACTTCAGAAAGACAGGCTTATACTAAATACTATGATTATTTTGATGAGATATTTAGTAAAGGTGTCACTGATAATCATACCAACCTAGAAATAAAATATTAAAGTCTTACTAATTTTTGCCCACAGCTTATTTCTGTGTATAAGTACAATTAGGCTGTGCAGTTTGTACAATTAAGTAACTCTAATTCCAGACACGTTTTAATAATTGTAACAATGCTATAACCATAAGTAAGTACATATGCTGTCTCTTATACACATCTAGATGTGTATAAGAGACAGCAATTAGGCTGTGCAGTTTGTACAATTAAGTAACTCTAATTCCAGACACGTTTTAATAATTGTAACAATGCTATAACCATAAGTAAGTACATATGTATGTATGTGTATATATTGTGTTAATTGAAAACGGTGTAGGAGCGTCACTCATGTGGCTGTTGTTGGCGGCGGTGGTGTTGTCGGCGATGCAACTAATGCATAACCAAGTATGGCGGTAGTTTACTTGGCGACAGCAGCAACTTTTTATCGAACTTTTGACAGTTTATTATTTTGCAGTTTTTGTTGCTTGTGTGGGACTTATCCAGAAGTAATTTTACTTTCAGTGACTGATGTAATTCAATAATTAGATCAGTATCTATAGAAATATGTACATATAACAAATATGATTATGCAATTGTATGGGAGAAGAGAGAAAGATAAGATCGCCATTATAATAATGATTGGTATGAAACAGCTTCAGACCCAGAAATTATTTATTTTGTAATAGTTTAGCCTCTCAGAAGACTTTGTTCTCAGCAAATTGCTTACGCGTTGAATTTCCTGCACTAATTCGATATTATCGTCTATACACACAGATGAATGAATAACTAAACTATTTTAGGCCACTTTAAAGAATTGCATTTTCATTGAACAAAAAAAAAAATAGTTGCTGTTTTCATTTCTCATAATTTCCGAACTAATTTTCTTCATATTTGTCTTCTCATATTCCAGTGGCAGCAAACACCGGACATCGATCAAAAGAAGGAAATTCGTTCCCACTTATATAAATTGCGTGAATCGCGTTTACGTGACTTATATCAAGGCGAAATCATGGCTGGCAACTACGCTAAAGATCCGTTGAACTCGTCGCACGGCGATTCTTTGGTGGGTCAAAATTTTCAAAGCTTGAAATCAAAAGAAGTACGAGATTCAGTGAGTCCCATAAATGATTTGAAATTCCACTCCATGACCCTGAATCATCCCAATACAACTGGTTGGGACGTTCAAACTTCGTCCGAGGTGAGTCCAGATGGACGCGCATATCGTACCGAAACCTTGGCTACCACAGATGGTAAGTACACTTCTTTTATGACTGCTCTTTATGTTCTTCTATTATTCCATTACTTTACCCAACCATTAATCGAAGCAGAAATAAGTAAATATAATTTTTAAAAAATATATACTTTAAATATATTTACATATATGTATGTGTGTTGCCCTCCTTAATTGCATGCTTACAGGCGTTGAAAAGATTAATGGAGGCACCGCTGAATTCCGCGGCCGAAACGAGCAACGCGCAAGTGCTTCTCATCAAGGGGACGATAAGAACTTCGTTAAGAAGGCATCGGAAAGCTCCAATACTCACTTGCAAGAGCGTGTAGTGGTTGGCGATGAAAATTCCGGGCGCACTGAGATGAAAACTAGCTCAACTACAACATCTTCCTCATCGCAGGTGACATCCTCGTCATCCACTATCGAATATGGTGGTGCCGATCCAAACGATGGTCGATATCTTATGGATAATACTCAGAGACAACATCAAGATCATCAACGACTCACGCAAGATCAATATAATCAGCAGATTCGACAACAACAACAACTACAGCAGCAAGAATATGAACAAAACATACAACACCAACAACATCAGCAACGTGTCCAGCAACAACATCAGGAATTCAACAGTAATCGTCAAGAATCGTCTACAAGCCGTAATGTTGAGACTCAACAGACGAAGGAGCAGAACAGACGTGTTGTAGATATGGATAAGGCTTCACCTGAATATCAGCAACATGTCCAGCATCTTATGGCACAACCTGGTGAGATTATCTCGAACACGGTTGAGTATCCGAAACCGAATGTTAAGATGATCACTACCGTTAAGCGTTTACCTGATGGTACTATCGTCAAGAATAAACGTTACGAAACGGAAGAGTTACGTCCTACAGTGGATACTCAACGTCAACGTACGACTTCTACTACGAGCCAGAGCAGCACTCAACATAGAAACGAACAGCAAAGACGTGAGCAGACCGAAGATAATGTATACAATCGTCAACAAAACGTGCGCAATAATGTGTATTCGAATAATACTCCAAGACGACCTGAACACGATGTCGTCGATAACGCCGAACCTTTCTTGCGCAAACCAAACCCTCAAGATTTAGCGGTTTCACATCCGGCCGATCATTTTGTGGATGAAACCACTAATGTCGAGACTAAATTTTCATCGGTGAAAAAATCAAGCCGTAAATTCTCCACTGAAACGACATCAGAAACTATTGAGGAGTTTTCGGATCAGCCACCCTCTTCACAGGCTCCTGGTATCAGAGGTAAGCCGCCGAGTGGTCATTTACCTAACAAGGATTTTTCTACTCATGGATTTCCTTCAGTGAAGCCGAATAAGCCCACTCAAGAATATCCTTCTGAACGTCCACATATCGGCTCACAACCTGATTTTAGTACTCATGGGTTTCCTTCGGTGAAATCAAATAAACCAACGCAAGAATACCCAAGCGACCGTCCACGTCCTTCTGAGGTGGAGCGTATAACACAACGAACTGTGACTCCCACAAATAAGCCGAGCACAGATGCACCACATGGATTTCCCGCAGTAAGACCAAACACAAATATTACTACCACCAAGGATGGTGATGTGATAATTGTAAGTTCTGAATCTACGCGCAGTTCAAAATATAAGACCAATGCAGAGCGTGTTATCGAAACTGAAGTAGTAGTTGATGGAGATTCTAATGTTCGTCCTGAAAGTTATCCTAACCGTGGGTTTCCCGCAGTAAACGAACCATTAACTGGAGGTAGAGATTCGCCAAGATATGGTGCCCCTATTAAGGAGTATCCGAGTAGTCCGATAAAACAATCACCAGAATACTCCACAAGCGGATTTCCATCTACCAAAGATGTGGCTAGACCGAATTCAGGACAACCTGTGCCTTCAAGAACCGTTGACCAAGATGGAAATGTTATAGTAGTGAGCTCGGAAACAAAGAAAGTGATTAAACATAATACAAACAGGGAGCATATTATTGAAACAGAAATTGCTGGTAATTACGATCATCATACACCGTCAGGCTTACGCCAACCAGACAAAATTACTTTTCCACCTACTCCTCAACCAGGGGATTTCAGCACACATGGATTCCCATCGGTAAGAGACTCTGCACCCACCAATGATGCATATCGTCGACAGGGCACACCTACACGTGATTATCCCAGTAGTCCCCGAAAGGCCCAACCATCCGAAGATTTTTCGACTCACGGTTTTCCCTCTGTTAGGGAGTCGGCACCAGTTAGAGGAAGTACACCTTCTCGAGACTACCCGAGCAACCCAGGTCAACATCAGCCAAAAGATGATTTTTCTACACATGGTTTTCCATCTGTAAGAAGTCCCAAGAAAACTGCACCGGATTTCTCAACACCGTCAGGTGGCTTCCCATCAACTAGGGATACTAACGCTCCCAAGCTTACGCCAACTCAACCACAAAGAATACAACCGAATACAACACCCACAAGGAAACCTACGAGTACGACAGACTCTTCTCAACGCCTGATTTCGAAGGAGAGGGATGTCGACGCCACCCATCGTGCCTTTGCCGCTTCACTACGATGTTCGTCACCAGTGGATAGTACAGATCATCATCGGACCACACCGCGTTCCAGCGTTTCATCGACCAGGACATTCCGACGAGATGGCCGAGAAGGTTCCCATGACAGCGAAACAAGTCGCATCAGTTCAGGCACAGTTACGCGTTCTTCGCCAAGTAAGAGTGTTGGTAAAACTGTCGTTACAAAGCAAACTGTTGTTAAAACTCGTAACGTGAATGGTTCTAACGAAACAATTGATTTAACACCCCAGCAGCGCCCCACAAAGTCGCCGTCTCCCACAAAGACCATCACAACGACCACCACACGCACCACAACAACTAGAAAGAGTCCAGGAGAAGTGCCAAAACCAGGTACGAAGTAAAATATAGAAAGCACATTACAACTAAATGGCAGTCTATCCTTCAGATAATCAAAAATCTAAGAAAGCCGAAAACACATTTCCTATTATTAACGAACCACTAACCATCACAAAAACCCACTTTACCGCAAATGACGCCAGCTTCCTCGGCAACGAGGTGGTCGAGGAGCCATGCTTAAAAAAACACTTTTACAAACTCGGTCCGTCCGACAAAGCAACACCAAACAATGTTGACGGTAAGAAGATATAAACATTCAAAATTTGCTTGCCAATACAAAACAAAAACAATAACGCAGAAAAACAACACTATTACACGAGATTTTTAACATAATTCTAAATTCACAAAAAAAGAGAAAGAGACATATCATAAGAAGTACTTACCATAAACAAAAATAAATTGACACATGTACTTACATACATACATACGAAGACTTAAAGGTCACGATCTATGAAAAAATATCAAAAACCAATTCAACCGAAACAAACAGTTACAGAGGAACACCTAGAAACTTCCAAGACAAAACGAAGCTTAAACACCTAAAGCATGCGACCGATGTGACTACATATAAAATAAAATAGAAGTAAAGGTTGCATGGTAAGCTTTTATTAACACCATCAGCTAAAAGTAGAATACAAATTGTTTAACCAAGAAATAACACGATCGTAGAGTAGTTTGGAAAATATGACTAATAATATGTACTCGTATCGTATTGTAACATCACTGACAAAGTGATTAATGCTTCATTCGCTGTAATTTTCAACAGAGAAGTCACCATATTCACCAGCACCAAGTAATAACATACATCGCACTCATCCCAAAACAACATCCCCAGTTCGGGATGATTTCGAAGATGTTAACCACGAAGAGCCCATCCATAAACAACCACTAAGTTCATACGTAATCGAACCTAAACAACGTAATCGTTCACCATCAGGACCACTTCCAAGTGGTAGTCCGCAAACCATTTGTCAACCAAACAGAAAAGAATCTAGTGTTGGGCGTAGGACTGTTGTGAGAGAAAGTGAATTTGAAAATACAGATTGGCAAAATACAATTCTAGATTCGAACGAACGACCCTATCCTGTAAAGGATGGATCTTCAAAACCGCGAGAAAACCGTCCTAAAGATGATGATTATATAAAAGAAACACTAGTTGATACGTCTGATTTTCCGGTAATTAGAGAAGAAACTATTAAACGAACAGATCAAAACAGACAGAAGGAGATTGTGGCCATTAAAGGTACGAGAAATGAAAAACTGCGATCTAATGAAAACAATTTTGTAACAATTGAGAATGATGTAAGAAAGCCGAATGGAAAAGAACCTTCCGGACCGGTCGGCAAGAAACCTACTTCGGCAAAACCACTAGATTCAACGGACAGGAGACCTAAAGAAAGAAAACCATCTGATAAACATCCCATTGAGTATACGGAGAAACCTAAAAGTCCAATTCGAAAAACTTCCGATTTTACCTCTTCAAATAAATTCGATACCTCCGTAACAACAAAAACTACACGGAAGGAAAATTCAAATGTTATTGGCGATGATATCGAACCACATCAAAGTATTCCAAAACAGCCATCTGAGAGGAAACCAAGTGATACAGGAAAATTAAAACCGAACGTCGTTGATCGCAGTCCGATTAGAAAACCAACGAACTCAAAAACTCTCTCAGATATAACTTTGAAATCGGTCTGTAAAGAAAACGATGAACCTGTGGATAGAAAACCAACGGGTGCATCCCTAAAAGAACCTGCTTTTAAGAGACCAACAGGAAAGAAACCTGAATCTAGTCCTACACGAAAACCGGAGAAAGATACTTCAATTACTTCTGAAGACAACGTAATCAAAACCAGTACTATTACTACTACGGTCACGAAAACTCGCAAAGACAACGTTTCTCCTACCAGACCCAATAATAAAACTCCTGACGAAGATAGACCAACAAAATTGTCGCAACAAAAGCCGATATATACCAATACTTTAAAGCACGAACCACGCGATGAGTACCCCGCACCTACTGATAACAATCCAACAAAGAAAATACCAACAAAGGAGAATCTTAAGTCAACAGAAATTAGAGTTACTAAAACACAAGTGGTAGCATCTACCGATAAATATCAGCCTGGTCCAAAAAGAACAAAACCACTTACTACAGAACCTTCCAATTCAGAATATGATGATGATGTAAACGAGAGTGAACATGAACAAAGTAATCCTCTCAGGACGGCACCATCTGAGCCTGAAAAGGTCACACCGGAAAATACACCAAATAATACTCAAGAAAGAGAAGACTTCTCGGACACTGAGAGCACAAGCTCATCATTTATTACGACAATAATCAAAAAGGTACGCACAGATGAACCAAAAACAACTCATCAAACGATTACCGATGAGACGAAAAAAGTTCAAGAGCTTTTCAATAAAACCGATAAGACGAAAATAACTAAAAATGTAAATGAAGAATTCATAACTTTCGAACAACGGAAGCGAGAAAGAATTCCAGTTGATGATACTCCTACAACAAAAACAGAATTACGAAATAAGGAAGCGAATAAACCAAGTTTTGAACCAATAGATAATTATTCGAAACCCAATGATACAGACGATGACGAGCAATCCTGTACTAATGCAAATACTTTGAAAATAAGTTCAGTTAGAACAACTTTAAGAACCTTTGCTCAAGACAAGTCGCATTCCCCCGAATACCAACCCAGTGATAGGGAACCCAAACTGGTGCAGCCATCCGTTATGGGCTTGAGTAACGACGATGAGGTCCCACAGCAAACAATTGAATCGACAAACAAAAATACTCACAAAGCTAATTCACCGAATTTCACAGATGGTGGAAAACCCAAATCTGATGCTAAGCAGATTTTGCCAGACCATAACGTTAAGGATCGCATTCCGTCCACAAAACCAACTGGACAAACTTTTGATACTATTATTTCGACTACCACTACTAAAATTTCCCAAAACTTACCTGGCGAAAAAACAACAGCAAAGCCTCGAGAGGCTTCCGATAAACTTGTGCAAACCACTTTCGATGAAACTAAAAAAGTTGAAGAACTCTTTAATACTAATAAATTGGCTCATACAAAAAATACTATTGAAGAGTTTATTACTATTGAAAGGCAAAACAAAGAAACCCCAGATGGAGCTTTTATATCGAAAGCACCTGAACCTGAACCAAGTTCTCCAAGTTTTAAGAAAAAAGGTGTTAGTCCAAGAGAAACCTTTGAAGATCGTTGCCGTCAAATCTTAGGCATGGAAAACTATGGAGACACTCCTGGTGTTTATAAAAAGAAACCTGAAGATATATCCGAGCTAACTGAGTCAGTTACCGTTAATGTCACAGAATTGGATGTTCAAATAGAGGACTGTGAAGATGATGAATCCACTTATGTAAATAATATTAAAGATTCTGTTAAGCCTCAGAAACCACAACAACCCAAAACCGGCAATACTCTTGATGATGAGATACTAGAAGAAGTGGAATGTGTTCCTAAAGAAACCGTTGTACCATTTAAAAGAAGTTCTCCAGATACGGAGCCCTTGACTGAAATCTGTCGTAAAACAACTTTGATTTCTGAAACCGATTTAAATAAAGAAGAAGATGAACAAACGGTCTCTAAAAAGTCTTCTAAAATAGTTACTAAAACTTCCAGTCCATCACCGAAGAAGGTAAAATCCCAAAATGAGGAGCCAGAAGATTCATCAACCACCGATTCAGAGTTTCCGGAAAAAGAAACGGACGAAGAGTCTCAACCGGATACTATAGTATCTAAAAGGGATATGCAATATACAGAAGAAGTAGAGAATGTCTCGAATGTGGTTGAGGTTACCAAAAAACAAGTAACGAAAGAAAAACCTTCTAGTCCTAATAAAAGTCCGACCAGAAAGCCATCCGAGCCTCAAGTTACTCGTAAAATATCTCCCGTCAGACAACATCCTTCTGGCTCCTCCACGATAACAGAATTGAAAACAATCGAAACAAAGACTAAGTCGCGTGAACCGAATAAACCTTCAAAAATCAAAAGTGAAACTAAGCTTGTTGACAAGTCAGCGGAGAAACCGGATAATCAAAGTATTGTTGGAAGAGATAAACCAACATCAACAGCGAAGTTGCGGTCAGAACGTATCAATAAAGTTGATACCGATAAAGGTCATCAAAAGCCCACAAAAGAGTCTCCAACTCACACAATCAAAGACCGCTTACGTTCTGCCACCAGAAATAATAAGCCTTCCGAATCGCAATCTGACTCTTCGCCTGATGTTAGTCCTTCACGGTTTACAGAGCGAAGACGTTCGAGTAATATTTCCGTACATACTGAAATCATAATTGATCATTCAGGACCAAAATCTCCTAAACCTATTGAAAAGAGCCCTGAGAAACATGCACCACAGACAAAGAAAACCAGTTCGGCAGATAAAACTTCACCAAACACAAGACCGGTTCGGAGACTTCCTGTAACCGAACGAAAAGAATCTGCGCCGGTTCCGAGTGTTACTCGTAAAGAAAAGGATGCAAAAATGACTCGATCAACAAGTGAGAAAGTTATGAAAATTACTGATAAACCGCTAAAAGAAACTGTTGTGAATACATTGGCACCAAGCCCCACACCGAAAGGTGATCGTCGACCTAATAAATGCTTCACCACCAAGACCATAAATCTCACTACTACAGATAAACTAATAAATAGCGAGGAAATGGAGAATGTTATAATAGATATTCAACATGCGAAGAGTTCTCGTGAGCCATCACCAAATAAAATTGTCCCTACGCCAGTACCGGTGCATTTAGATACGGGTAGGCCTCGTTATCCCGACGTTGTGCAAGAACCTGAAGATGAACCTCGCAAAAAACCGGTAATCACAAATATTCCTATTTTTGAAGAAGAATCAAACGAATATATCAAATGCCATATATCAGAGGTGAAGACAGATAAGATTTCGAAATTGGAAGGCTTAGATGAGAATGATATTCTGGATAACCCTATGATTGAAGCTCCAAAAAGTCTTGATTATCCGTCTATCGATAGACTTGACGATGACTGCCTTTTGAGCGTTCATGAGAAGGTTTCCAAGTTCACACATACAGCTGAAGAAATTAAGAAACCCAAAGCATCTAGCCCATTCAGTAGAGAGTTCGACAAAACACCCAAAGTACCAGAAAATGATGAATGCTTATTGACAGTTGATGAAAAAGTTAACAAGTTCATTAAGACAGCAGAAGAGGTAGCGAAACCCATCACACCTATACGGGAGGTTGAACGCCCCACCTACACTGATTTGGCCGAAGAGTTACGAACAGATGATTGCACTTTGTCGGTGTCTCAAAAGGTGAATAAATTCTTGAGTACTGCAGAAAAATTGGCTCCAACTGCGCCGCAAAGGTCCCCTGAATTGGTAGCTAAGATCGAAAGGACTATTTCCAAGCAGAGTGAGCCAGAGTATCCCGAAGATCTTAGTGATGATGAACTAACGCCTTTTTCACAGAATCATACTCTCGAGATTGAGAAAAGACGTCAAAAAGACATACTCTCTCGACCAACTGTATTTGAAAATACAACAAAAACTGATCAGTATAGTGATTACTCAGAGGTAAAACTTACTACAACCAAAAATAATACCTCACTAGAAGAACACGAGGAAGTAATTCCTCATACAAGAGATCATACAACCAAACTTGAATTAAAACGACAAAAAGACATTTTGTCCAGACCTTCAATCAATAATCAGAATGTGAAAGGAAGACCACAATCGCCCAATAAAAAGGAGCCCACTGGTCCAAGCAAGCATCCATTAACGAATGTTAAAACAAAGCAGATGGAATATACAACACGAAAAATAAACAGAGAGGATAGTGATAAAATTGAAATTAAAGCTGAGCGCAAACCATCCACTCCGGTGTCCAAGCCTGATAGCCGTAGAACAACAATACCACAAGCTTCGTCAGTCGCTGTAACCAGATCTCGTTTTGAGACCACTGATATGAAAAGGAAAATACCAAAATCGTCTGTTGAACCGAAAGCAAAAATTATTACTGGTCGTAAACCAACGAGTGAACCCAAGACATCTGGTAGAAAACCATCGACGGAATCGATCACTCACTCTTCTTATCCCAGCAGAGGTAAGCCAAAAACTGAGCTTGATAGTCAATTTGATGGCAGGAAACCATCTACTGAATTCGAAATCAACGTTCATGATTCCGAAGCCGTCGAGTCCGAAACGGAGTTTACATCAACATCACGTCGCAGAAGTTCATCAAAAACAAAAGATTATTTAGAGACGGTACAAACAGAAATTGAACGGTTTTCTCCTACTCAAAAAGAATCTCCAACTCGAAAAACTTTCCTGATGGAAAAGAAAACACCCCAAACTTTCTCTCACAGCCCTATTCGAAAAGATACCACTAGCACTACCAATGTTATTCACGTAACCGAGCGCACAAATAAGCACAATTCAGATTGTTCCGATATTGAAATCGTTGAAACTGTTATAGAGCGCCCCTCACACGTAAAGACGCCAACACCTACACCAACAACCGTTGGTCGTACTCGCATAACATCAGATACTGTTGCCGCTCGCCGCAACATTTTCGAAACCAATACCACGCCGAAGGGTCAAAGTCCAGGAGAAAGCAATTCGCCCTCACCTGTTGGTAGACGTCCATCATATATGGATCACACAGTTAGCTCTTTAGAGCACAGTCGTCGTGATTCACTAGAAGTGAATAAGCATAACTATTCACGCAAGTCATCGGTGGATTCGGAAATCAATTATGAGCGTCGACCAAATACTGCAGTGAAATTTGATGTGCCACATAAACCGCAGCGTACTGCTAGTATTCCTGAGGATATTGATGTTGAGAATATTTTCGAATTGGAAGTATTGGAGCGTCTTTTGGAGACGGTAACCTCATATGAACTGAGACGCAGGATTCGCGCCCAAATACGTTTGGTTAAGAAAAACACACTCAACACTAATGTGGTTGACAAAAGGAAAACAGAAACTAAAGCATCTAATTCCATAAGATCAACTCACAAAACATCTACTTACAAATCAAATGTACATCAAGAAGAAACTGACACCATTAATGAAGTCGTAACAACGAAAGTGCCATATGACAATAAAGGTAGTCCAAAACATCCGGTTCAAACACCAAAGATGGGTAGGGCAACTCAAAATGCACCGCGAAAATCCCCATATGGTACTGAAGAAAGCCCAAGGTCGCACAATAAACTGCACAGCGAACAGAACGTTACTACAAAAAGCACATATGATACTAAAACTGCAAATGGTCGCACAGAAAGCCCTGAACGTCCCAGAAAATTGCCCTTTGAACGCGATCACAGTCCCGAAACAAAAACTTCTCACGAACAAGTAAAAGAAATACGTCGTATATCTGGTTCTTCGAAGTCCTCACATAAAGAATATGTACATAGCGAGCAGACGGATTACTCGGAAGAGAATATCAAGAGCTCCCGCCGCCATGTTGAGCAGAGTTCTGAACGTTTTGAAAAAGATCATAGTCGTGAACGCAATTCTAGTCCGGAATCTAAGAGTCCTGTTAGGGACGGCAGACATAGTCAAGATATTAAAATAAAAACTTTGCCTAGCACACGCATCAGAAGTCCTGATGACAGAAAGTCGTCATCGCAACGCACAATCAGTCCAAAAGGAAGAACGCCGAAACAACGTGATGAATTATATAACATATCCAAGGTAACGACAGTTAAAACCACACGCTCACCCGAACGTAAATCTAGTAAGCCGAATGTTGACGAAAACGTCCCCATTTGGGCAGATCGTAAAAATCTGCTCAAGAGTCCAAGTAATGCACCACGTAAAGTGACAACTACGCCGTCAACACGAAACACGGCAACGAAGGTTACAACATCGAAGACAACCAGTCAACGCCAAACTCAGAATAGAAACTTTGAAGAAGATTCAATCACCTCGAGTTATGGCATTGGACCGACAGACGAAAATGGTTTGCCTTTATTCGGCATTAAGGCGTTGAAAAAGAAGAAGCCGAGTCAGCCCTGTGAAGCAACTGAAGGTAAGGCTGGCAAGCAACTAAGTAAAAACAAAAATTGTACATTGATTGTTCTAATTTGTGTTCCGTAGAAGTCACAGGCTATGTCATCGAGGAGAAGTATTATTCAGATAGTAAAACAAAACCGAAAGTTGAGCGTAAGGAGTACATTTATTCAACAAATGCCGATGAACTCGAAGAAATTACAAAAACTCTTGAGCAAAGCCGTAAATCTTCAGAGGATAATGTAGATGTCATCAGAAAAGTTGAGAAACTCGATAAGGATTACGTTAGTACTACATAATGAAAATTGTGATATTATGATAACCTATGTATTATTTTCGAAAGATTTTTGACAAACCTGAAGCTATTATGCCAGACACAGAGGACTTTACTACAACGTCCAGCAAATATGTTCGCCGTGGATCAGTGAAGGAGCTAAGTGAGAAATTCATACGAAAAGAGTCTTCACAATCAGTAACAGAAAAATCCGGTGGCTACCCAAAGGCCGGTTTGATTTTACGTACCCGCCGTGGGTCGTCATCAGAACCAAGTGGAGGTAAATAAGAAATAAATGAGATGATTATCCATCACATTTGTTAAAAACATTCGCTCATTTAGATGGTTATGAAATAACTACTGAAAAATATAGCACAACATCGAGCAGTCATGTTCGCCGCGACGATTCCGATGATGAACAAAACGTGCAGCTGCGTCAGAAACAAACGCGGCGTATACTCACTGACTACGACGATAACGACGCAGACCAATGTCACTTGAGTAATCGTTCGTCGACGAAGTCCACACGCTCGTTCCTTAACAGCGGCGAAACTAAAGTGGTGACCAGCGTGGATGATGCGCTGGAGCGTATGCGTAATGCAGATTATGGTAAGTATAATGCTGAGCGCATACAAACCATATTATCACATGTTGTGTTATATAAGAGTTAAATGGTCTTAATATCTCTTATACCACAGTTGTAGAGGAAGGTGATACGGCAGAGGATCGCGAGGCGCGTTCATTGTTGAATAAATTTCTGGGTGCCAGCGTTATAATGAAAGGTGTCGAAAGTGTTTTGCCAACAACCAAACAAACAACAACTACTACCATTACCAAAACTTCATACGGCGATGGGGATGATGGCGACAGAGACCTACTGAAGAATAAAGCGGTGAGTCCATAGAAAGAAAAATATTCTTAACATTACTGTATTACACTTAGCTAAGTACCAGCGAAAAAGATATGGCACTTACTTGAGGGAATAAATGAGACACGATTTCCCTAAATAAATAATAGAAACATTGAACTTTCTAGACACGGCGTCCCAGTTTTTCAACTTTTTTAAAGTGACAGTACGAAATTCAATTCTGCTGTTAAAGTTAATTTTTATTTAATTTTTTAAATAATTTATGTCAATTAATGCTTTAAGTTGTAAATAATAAATCTATACTTCAATGTTCACTAGTTTGATCCATTTCAATCACGATCATAATAAAACCCTAAAAGGCAGCTGAGAAGCCACATCTTCCTTGCAGTGAGAACTCCCACACTCTCTGCTCTTTAATTTCGCTCAGCGCATGTACCAGTTGTTCATAAATTCATATAACTGAATGTATGTAAATGCATATGTATGCATTTGCCCACTGAAATATGCACATACGCTAGCACATTTGCGTATTGGATGTATTTATATATTCTTATTTATGTTCTGTACATATGGCACGAACTGCTTTGGTGCCGCCGGATACTTGTGCTTGCCAGCTTCCTAGCTTCCTGCAACAATTTGTGCTTTTCGCTGATTTAGTACACACTCGGAGGCGGAATCGATCACTTGTATGTCTCAAGTGATTAAGGCGTAGGTTGCCGGAAAATAAATTGACCAAAAAGTAATTGAAAGATATACATACATATATGTATATTAAATATTAAAATTATATAAATTGCTGCATAAGTGAGATTTAAAACAAGTGACTATGCAGCTAAACAACCATTTATATGTATATAAGTGCCATATATAACAGTTTGTGCATATGTAGTGCTGTTATAAAGTGAAGTCGTTGCGAGAAATGTGTCAAATGAGTAACTGTATAAAATCGAATTTCGAAACGATTATTTAATCATTTGTCATAAGGCATATGTATATGTATCTCTATATGTTTATACAAAAGCATATATGTATGTACATCGCGAATGCAATTAGTGAACTACACCTTTGTGCAACGAGCCTCTACGCACAAATATATATATATATATATATATATACATATGTATATACTACATATATGTACATAAGTACACCTGAGTTGAGCCCGTCGAGGACCAGTATTCCCTCTCGGCACCTTTTCGGCGAGCAGCAACACAGCGAGACAGCCAACGAAATGCTCTAATACGAGACAAAAATAGCCATGATCACACTATTTTTATGTTTGAAAAATTTTCGAAAATTTTCAAATCATTCTTTTTTAGTTTATTTTCCGTGGAGAACGCAACATACACTGTGTGCTAAAAGTGTGCGTCGATAAGCGTGTTTATTTAATACCAACCGCAGTGGATTTTGTTTTTGTCAAGGTTTACAAAGTGTTTAAATTGTTTCACGAGAAAAATTATAAACATTTTAAAATTATTCAATTATGTCGCTGCAATATAATAGCAAATTTACACCCACCAAGTTTTATGGCTCGCGTTTGTGAATACTGCAATTATTTCCGACAAAAGTGTGCGCACAGCCAAAAGCGTTGAAAATATACATTTGTCTGTTTGTATTGTATATTATAATGTGCGTTTCCAAAAATAACAAATGTCGGAAACTTTCTTCAGGAGAATCTGGCCAGTTTATTTTCTGCTGTTGCCGCTGTCGGTGCCAACTTGCGCCGAGTATGAAAGCGGAAAATTACAAAAAATTAATTAATATTTATTTAATAAATTTAAAAAAATTAAAATTAAATATTTTAGTTTGAAAGCGGAAAATTACTAAAAATTTATCAATATTTATTTAATAAATTAAAAAAAAATTCAAATTTTAATTAAATATTTTGTGTAATAAATAGATACTTTTGCGGCAGATATAAAACGGCATTTGTGAAAATTAGTGATAACAATACATATATGTATATGTGCATATATATATAATTGAATGCAATAAGCCAAAAAATCGTGTTGAAAGGAATTACAAATTTTTGTATGTATGTATGCATGCATGTAAATGAAAGTTTTTTATAAATTAAAATACAAAAATTTTCAAAACTTACGTTTCTGGTATTTAATTAATTACATACATACGTACAAATANATATATTATTTTATAATAAATATTTGAATAATATTTACTTACTTAAATAAAAAACAAAAAAAATCCATAAAGTTTGCATACAATTTCTTAATACCACGAATTAAATTTTAAATTGCGAGCAATTTTGATTAAACAAAATTTTGATATCAACTGCCAAACAAATCTGCGAAGAATATGGAGCACTTGCATATACTCGAATGCTTCGCATACTTCTGAGCAACTACTAAAGCAATTACCACACCTACACATACATACATACATACGTGTGCTCAGTCAATGCACAAAAATGTTCTAAAAATTCAACGGTGCATTTCTATTTCTTTAACAGATAGCGTGTGATAGTGCGACGTGCCAAAAATCTTAAAAAAATTCAAAAAACAGCTAAAAATAATAGCTAATAACTAAAAAAGCAAAAAAAAAACAGAAACTAAATTATTTTTGGTTTGTTCAGTTATTTTGAGCACACACACACAAACACGTACGTACGTACGATCAAAAGTACCTACAAACGTTTTTGAAAAAAATTGGACGTGCTGCAGTGGCTGGCCTTTCAAATACGCACCGAAACGCACAGGGAACGCAAACGCGCTGCACAACACAAAATTCGTGTCGCGAGTGTGCAAATATTCCGCCTCGAGTTGTTGCACTCAGAACAATTTAGGCCGCTGCCACTTCCGCTGCCAAACAGGGTAAGCACAGTGAAAGCATTGCAATTTCTTGCCGAAAAAGAACAGTTGCTTTTTTAAGTTTGCATAATAATTCGTTCCAGCATGCTACCGTTATTTTTCTTACAAAACTTCGCTATTTCAAATATATTAGTTTTAAATTTGCGCGTTGCTTTCCCATTTGGTCTTGCTCAAATCGCCGCGGTGTGTCTAAAAATATTGCAATGATTTTGTTGTTCAATACACCTTCGATACGAATTATTTTTTTAATTTTCAAAAATTTTCAAAAATTTTCAAAAATTATAAAAAATAATTATTTAAAATGGGGAAAAAACTAATCCAACTTGGCTTAAGACGCTGCGCAGCTGTTGATTTGACCTTGCTTTTGGTTTAGTGCTGCCAAAATATGTATATAAATCCCCCGTTCTCGTAGGTGTGAATATAATATAATTATTTATACATATGTGTACACATGTCTACACATATAAATCTGCGTTATCTCGACATAACGACAAGTGTGGGTGGCTATGCAAATTCGCTAAAATGCTAAAATAATACAAATATCTAATTATATCATTTTCTAAAATTTGTTTTAAACTCCGTCTATTTATTGCACTCCCTGTGGAGCTACCGTTAAGCCAAAGCGCGTCCATTATCTATTTTGTTTGATGTCTTCCCCCTAGATGTCAGCGACTCCCAATCGCAGCTTCCATTGGTCATTATCTGCATGGTACTCATATACATTTATATACATTCATACACTAGCACCTATGTGTGTGTGAGGCTATGTAAAATACGTCTAAGCAGATTTAGCCGCGTATCAATTAGAATTACTTTGGCTCGGTCATGGCGATGAGTTGGTATTTTGCGTCAGTTCAATGCCAATGACTTTTATTTACGCGCAATTTCTTCGTTGTCTCCTTAAATAAATATTTACAAATACATATGTATGTCTATGTATTTTTATATTTGTATGCATTAAATCTAATGCTGTTCTTTGTTGATCTATAGCTTCTTTCATTTAATGCCAAGTACACGGAATTTGACATCACAACGCAACTTCCTAATTCAAATTAGAAGAACGTTACACTTAGAGAATATATGCATTTACATACATATGTATTTAGAAACGTAGAGAATCTAATTAAAATTACACATATGCTTTGTTGTTTTTATACCCTAAACAGTTGGGCGATTCAAAAATAAACATTTTTTTTGTTTGATACTCTGAAAAATGGGTTCCTAGACACCTCTAGGGAAGCCTCTCCAAGAATGAGTTCTTAATTGTAACGGGAAGGTCCTCCCACTTACAATTTTCTATTTTTTCTTAATATCATATAGACAACTTTATATCTGGCTTCCAACTACTTGAAAAAATATTTTGTTCCTTAGATTTTGTAGGAAATTTAATGCTCTACAAAAAGGTCTGTACGATTTTTTCGTAAACCCAACCGTTTAAAAGATATTAACAGTTAAAGTTTGATTATTTTTGGGAAAATTTTTTATTTCTTTTGAATTTTATAATTGAAAATAGATGAAACTACTACTACTGAACAGGTTGCCACAATACTTTTGACACCCAAATGGAAACGTCGGAGACCCTATAAAATATATATACTATATAAACAGGCTGATCGTTGATCGTCGATATATGTATGTATATTCACAAAATGACATGGGTTATTGTCCAAAACAAAGATACAATATTCGAAAAAATTTCAGGTCTGAATAATATAGCATATACAAACTGATCGATCAAAATTCAGTTCTTGTATGAAAAACTTTTTATTTGAGAAGATATCTTCACGAAATTTGGCATGGATTATTGTCAGAAATCATAATCGATCAGAATATTGAATGTAGACTAAATGTCCAAGAAACAAAAAAAAAAAAAAAAAAAAAAAAAAAAAAAAAAAAAAAAAAAAAAAAAAAAAAAAAAAAAAAAACCAAGTGCAATGTAAACAAAGTTTGAAACCATTAACTTGGTATTTAAAGTTGATCCTATACTATATATAACTCATATGATGACAGACATATTCGGTAAAAGGCTTCTTAGAAAAACGAAAAGCATTATATGTATTATATCTGAGTTATTTATTAACTATTATCATGTCACATATTAAAAAAATGTTTTCTGGATTTCATTAAGGTACCTCACATACAATCACCAATCATTCATCTTTAGATACTGGGGTCTTTGTTTTGGACATATTCAGTACCTAGGTGCTTGAACAGTTTTAAAGGAATTATTAGTGCAAAGTTTTATCCCGTTATATTAATTATTTATTGATTTATATACTGGGAAATGAAAGTTTCAATTGGAATTTAATTTTCGCCCCATTTTTTACACCGGCTCCCATAAAGCCTTCTCATACCATCTCGGAGGTAAATTTAACGTCTCTGGCGTATTCAATTATTGATTTGTCGCGCTTTTAGCAGTTTTAAACCGTATCGGGGTTATAATCCGATTTACTCCATTTACACACTGTCGGTAGGAGTTCTTATAATACTTGAGCTGGGTAAAACTGGATGTTGTAGCTGTAGTGGTTTAGGCGATATGTACATTAAACTTATTAGAAGGCGGCGCCACGCCCACTTTTTCAACATTTTTTGCTTACAGATGCACCTTGCTGCTTACCCTGGACCAAATTACAGTTTTATATCTTAATTTCGTGCTTAGTTAATTCCGTTAACATGGCACTTTGTGGGGGTGGCAATTGCGTGTAACTGTAATGTAGAAAGGGTTTTTGTCTCGTGGTATTCTTAAGAACGGGAGTATACTAACTTCTTATACACTACACTAAATAAATAAATACTCATATACATATGTGCTTCGTTGATTTTTATCATTTTTTTTTGTATCAACTGTGATCTCAAAGTGCTTAAAATTGGCCGCAATGTTTAATTTCTGTGCCAAAAAATTTGCCAAACACCAAGTTATGTGTCAAGTTACTCATCAATTATTTTAACTCACACATACTTATTGATACAACTTTTAGAATGGGAAGAATACCTGGATATAATAAGTGTCTGTAGTGACAACGTAGTTACTGAAATACTTCTGAATGGAATTTGCAGTGTTCTTGCTCCTTTCCTAGTTTTTAACTAACTCATTGAAACGAAAAAGTTCAGTTAGTGGTTAGCAAACCGCTGCATTTCATATATTGTAGTTTAGTGCAACTTTTCAATAGCCGCTGATGCCTCTCAAACACATTTGTTTTTATAATTGCTCGCAAACATAGACAAACACTAGCAGCCAAAGACGAGGGAAAATAAAGCATCACAATGTTAGTAAATGCAGGTGAATTAATTGATCTCTATAAATAAAATTAGAACATGTGAGACACTATTTGTTTTGTTTACAAAAATCTTTCATTTCGAAGACTCTTATGCTCAGCAAGAAGCGGTGTATTTAGAGCATATGTACATTTACTCGCATTTCTTTGATTTGAATTTCTGAGAACAACGGCCTCTACAGCACCATTGGCTGGCATTGCTCTGTATGCTCGTTGAGAATTTTGTTTAATGTTTTTTTCTGCTTGTTTTAATTATCAGTGTATGTCTGCTTGTGTTACGTAGTAGCATACGTACATTTCTATGTACTGTGAGGCATTTCTCTTCAACGTATTGAACATGATTTACGTCCAAAAATAGAAACGCGTGTTGCGGCTATTTGTTATTTTTCAAAAATTCGAAAATTTGAAAACGTCGGAAACTTTACGACAGAAATAAATAAAAATAAAGCGAGAGAAAAAATATTTTGCCATGTGGCCGTTCGCTTGGCTGGCTGTTTGGCGTTCGACCGATTGTTGTTACCAAAAATGGTGAAATTCTTGGTTGGCCGTATTTTTGTGGGAAATGTATGGTTCACAATTTAAATTGAAATAATTATTTGTTTCATTGTTTTTTTTTCTCTGAAGTACTCGAGTATAGTATATATGAGGTTGTAAGAAATCATAAAAACAAGAAGTTGTTGAAAATTGAGCGCATTAAATGAAATTTATTAAAATGGGAAATTTAAAAAGTATATTTAGTAGCTTCCTTTTGAAGCTATTTATTTTTTAAATTTTTCTTGGAGAGTCCTACAAGTTTTTTGTGTTTTTTCCTACACATACAACAGTGTGTCTATCTACATACATAAGACGACCATGATTTGTGTTTTTGTCTTCCAAAAGGCATCAAAATATAAAAGCACTTAGTTATTTTTATTAGAAAATTTATTTCAAATAAACTGAAAAATATTAATTTACGAAATCACAAATTTTAAATACAAGAGTATGTGTGTAATTAGGCAGAGGAACAAAGGAATAAGTTTTACGCCTTGCATCTTTTCACATTGTTGCAGTTTTAATTCACTACGCAATAATTTTCTTATGAAAAAAGAGAGACAAAATACTTGTATAAGGTCATTTGCTTAATTTAATGGAAAATGAGTTCGTTTACCTTCGCACGAGTTTAATTAACTTCCGAGTTCTGCTATTGTATGAGGCTCTTCATCTACATACTACACATACTATGTAAATGCATACACCCATATGTGGATCAATTTGTATTTGTATTTATAATAGTAAATAAGCGTACTACTTAATTTTAAATATTGTAGAACTCTTCATAAATTCATGCACACATATAGAAATCTTTGTATGTTCATTTCATTTAGTAAATATACATAAGTCTGCCTCGGTCCACAAATTCACTTACTTACTTTACTGTTGCCTTGAATTGCAGGTGAAAACCACTCGCATAACGAAAACGACCAAGTCTGGAAGCTCTTCAACACCAGTTACCCGTACAACTTGTGATATCGAGGAGATCTGGGACGAAGAAATCTTAAAGGAATTGGTAAGTGTGCCACGCAATTTTATTTCGCCTCGTTACAGTCATTTTGAAAATTTGAAATTGAAAACATTCCATAACTAAAATCCATGAAATCTCGCACAGCTTGAACAGGCCACAACATACGAAGAACGCCGGAAGATACGCGCGCGTCTACGAGATTTAATGGCGGAACGTGAAGGTAATGACAAGATGCATTGAATTCTAGAAAATGTGGGAGCAAAATTATTTTACAAAATTTGGTGTTTGAGAATTTCAAAAACTTATTGATCAGTAAAAAAAAAAATAAACCTTTTGGTAATAGCGGTGTTGGGTAATTATTAGTCCTCACAAAACACATAAGTAATATAAAATATTGAAACACCTTTACTATTTCGGCAGTAGTTCCTATTGAAATAATAATTACCTTTATTTTGTTTCTAGATTGATAATAAGCTAGGCAAGACTCTGTAAATCTTGATTTGGGTATCCAGCCAATACAGTATTTTAGGTACATACTTAAGCGGTTGGTATGCGTTTGAATGTGAACGTTTACATATAATGTTTCCATTATCCAATTTATCTTCAATTTAGTTGTTGTTTTATGTACCGCGCTTCATACACTTCAGCTCATACGTCTCTACTTTCATAATACCGCCATTTGCTGTCAACTCTTTCATATGGTTTATATCATTGTGCGTTTAAAGTAATTGTATATTCATGTGTTGTACCGAAGACAAGTGCTCCACTTTCCAAAAAATGAAAAATATTATCTTCAATACACAGTGCCTGTCAGCAAAAATTTTTGGATATGTTTCAATTGATGGGTTTCCGGTCAAGTGTATTGTCGATCGTTTACGTTTCAATTTGGTACATTACACCCGAACTGTCAAAAACCTTTCCAAATTATCATTTTTGAAATCGATAAGTTTTTGTTAGAGCAAAAAGTCTTACGCTTTTTTTGTATTTGTACTATCTTTAGAGAAAAAATACTTAAAATCGGGTGATATATCCGAAAACGTTCCAGAAGTCGATGAAAGCAGTGCTAGCGAGTACGAGGAGATCATTGAAGAGGTTACTGTAACCGATTACAGTGATGCTGAAGCCGACCTAGGCGAAGAAGAAGTATTTAAATCAAGTCAAAATATAGCTAGTGAAACTAAAGAGACCACAGATAATATAGAAAAGAAAGGAGAACAAGCAGAAAACTTTGATAAAGAAAAAGTTACTAGTGTTACTGAAAATGTAAAAGAAGAGAAGGTAAAGCAAGTAACTAAAGAAATTGAAAAAGTAAACTTAAAAGCAAAAGAAAGTGTTGTCACAAAAGAAACAAACGAAGAAGCTGACGTTGCAACCGATAGTAAGAATTCAAACTCGAACGAAGAGACTGTAGCTGAATCGAGTGTCGATAAAACCGATTCGAAATCCGTCGATGACGATAAGGGTGAGTCCCTAGTGCCGCTATTGCAAGATATTTTGCAAAAGAGTTTGCCAAACGCAATTGCCAACGCACGGAACTTTCAAGAAAGAGCACCGAATGCGGAGCTGAATCTACCTGCAATCACTAGCACACGTACAAATAAGGGCTGTAGTAGTAGTAGTATTAAGATTAGTGAACATAGTGATTTGTGTACTGTTAATAATTGCAACAACAATAACAATACCACCAACAATAACGAAGACAGTAAAAACCACACTGACCACACAAACGTAAACCACACACACAGTGACCCAAATATAAAACCAGCACGTGCAGATTGCACGAACTCTGACCAAACCTTAGATTCAAACTCGTCTGAAACAACAATGACACGTGACATTGTAATGCCAAAGAGAACCGGCAATAGTGTTAGCGCTTCCCAACAGAAGCAGCTGGATAGGTTAAGCGTTCCTCAAAAGGAGGACTCAGGTACGGAAAGTGGTGAGGACTTGCGTCTCATTGCGGCAGGTTTGCGTGATAGTTTGCAATTGCAAAGTGATTCCAATTTAATTGAGGAGGTCACAACAGCTCTTACACGTCTCGAGTTGTCACTGAAAGAAGGCAAAAACATACCGGTTGATGGTAGTAAACGTGAAGCGTTGTTGGCTTTGGTCGCACGTCTTCAGAACGGTCTCACTTCACGTGATGCAGCAGTAAATTTGTCAAATATGGCCGATAATGGTGGACAGTTTGATGAAACTTCTTCACCGGAGGGCGACGGACAACGCGCGAATCGACAACGCTTTGCTCGACGACGAAATCGTAACAGCCGCCATACGGTAGGTGTTAGTCGTGAAGAATTAGCTGATGCCCGTCGCTACATGGAAGATATGCAGTTGATGGACAATATATCAAACTGCACAACGCCAGAAAGTGGCATGACAGCAAATCCACTTACGCCACCACAATGGTTTCCCATCGAGAAGAATCCTTCGTCGGGTGCCATAGTCACGAACAGCTCGTCTTCTACACTTTACCGCCCGAATCAATTTGTACCGAATCAACTTAAGAACTCTATAGAATGTTTGAATGGTGACGCGCATAGAACCCTTAGAGAAAATGATGGCCAAAAGAGCAAACGCCCCTTGTCAGGTAACTTTTCGGTAAGCTTTAAGCCGAATCCCACCTCTAATGATCCTGAACCCTTTGTTAATGACAACCAAGAAGAGCAGAAGGAGTTTCACGTAAATGGAAATATTTCGCCTGACTCTGTCTATAAGTCTAACCGTTTCTCAAGCAAGAGACAACTTATGAAACGCGCAAACACCATTGATATACCAAAGACTAAGAAATATAACCCAGATTTTGACACAGATTCGGAACAAGAGGAGAAAACGCCTCAACTCGGTTTGAAACGCACTCTGCAAGTTAATGTTAAACACAAAGTGCGCAACGCTGTGCCGCCTTTCGTGCCAAAGACCGAAAATGATCACAAATTTCTAGCCTTCATCAATAAGCAAAGCGCTAAGCCTGGACTTGGTTGGACCGGTTCGCGTTCTGTGTCGAATTGGACTAATAAGTTCGGTAATTTAAAGCACACGTTTGAGGTGGGTGCTGCAGCACAGGTCACCACGGGCAAACCACCCCAAGCACCTGGACATGTGCCACACAGCGCAAGTAAGAGTTACTGGCAGAAGCAAGTGGCGAACCAAGAACATAATCAGCATCAACAACAACAACAACAACAGTACTTACAATACCAACAACAACAGAGGCAGCAACAACAACAACTGGCATATCAGCACCAGTTGCAGCGTAGTCAGCATGAGGAGAATGAACGTTTACGTCGCATGGAGAGAGAACGCCTCGAGCGTGAACACATTGAACGTGATCGGCAGGAGCGTCAACGTTTAGAGCGCGAGCGTCAGGAACGCGATCGCCTGGAACGTGAGTTCTACGAGCGAGAAATTATGGAAAGAGAGCGATTGGCTGCGGCACAACATGCTGCCATGCCGAGCATGACGGTGCCCAAACCAGCACCGGTGAACAAATTCCAGCATGCTCCTCAATCCGTTTTTCGACCCATCGAGAACAACGACGCACATGGTCATAACATTTTCAAACCCATACCACAACTGCCACAAAAGTCAAATACTTGGCAACCACCGTCCATCACCAAGAAACCACACTCAGCACCTGTGCAGTCGACATCTGCCTCACCGCAATTCCTGACTACAAAACCGTCAGTGAATGGCGCTCATGTAACATCACCCTCATCTACGACTTCATCGCCCATTGGTCTGCCTTGGGTTGCGAAGCCCGCAGTAGACAATAGTGATTTCAGAAAGAAAGCGCATACTTTCGAGGAGCGTTCACAAAATGATAATCACCAACATTCATATTTGCAGAGGCATCATTCATTACGTTCGCCAAAGGTAAGCCAACCACAAATGAATGAATACAAGAAACGTCCTTCGCTGCCAAACGCAGCCGATCCATATACGGCTGCTCAGAGTCAATATGTGCCACAACAGCAACAACCATCACAAGTTTACGCATCAACAACTAACATATACGCAGCTCCACCACCGCCAACAAATATCTCCTTTACATATGCCGACTTAGCCCGCACTAATAACTACAAAAGTTATCCCTGCCTTCCATCGGCTGTAGAGACGTCAATAACTGCGGAATATGTGCGACAGCGCGAAAGCTCACTGACCGATCCTCATGCAACACCACTGGTTTTAACCAGTTCCAACCCAACCTATGAGCCGCCTGCAGAAAATCAAGTATTCTACAATGATGCACCATCACCAAGACAATTCGATTATGCGAGCCCAATAGATAGTGCACCAACAAGTCCCAGTATTTTAGCAATGCCACCAACTGATTATACTGATGACGATTTGGACTCGGATAACTTAATGGAATATCGTGCCGAAACTCGGGTAATGGGTAAGCCACAAAGTCAAACTGCAGTTACAATACGGGACCGTCGAACGGCGCATGCCAGTGACGATGAAGTCTTCGGCAAAAACTCACGCAGCGCTCAAAGCCTATTGCAGACAATGAGAAATGTTGGTAAAAGTGGAAGTAATATAACGAAGGTTAAGAAAGATCCTGTAAGAAAAGTGGAGTCACCAAAGGTTTGCTTATCTCCAGATGGTCGTTCATACCAAGCGCCAGTTGTCGAACCTTTATTTCCTCAAGTTACCAATTTTGAGCCTAATCGTATCCCAGAATATATTCAGAATCCAACAAAGGCGGCAGCGCAAAGCAAACAAAAGAAACCGAGACCAAAAACACCACCAAAACCAAGCCAACAAATGGACCGAAGTTTGCAATTGGCGCGTACCGAGCAGAAACACCGATTTGAGCAGCAGTCGAACATGGATAGGACAAAATATTCAAATGAAAATGAAGCTCCGGCTCAACAGCAAAAAGTACAGTATCAGACGGTTAGTGTTTCTAACACTTCCTCCACCAACTCAGTGCCATACACAAGTGAAACCCAAACTGCTTATACGGTAACTTACCCCACCGAAGCCATCCACGAAAATCCATATGCTAAGCAACAACCGAATGCTTTACCTCTGCAGCGAAATCGCAATTCCACCGAGAACTTATCAACCATTTCGTCAATGTCACATAACTTACCTTCACCAGGCACAAGTTGGACGCCGAATCCTATTCACTCGGTAGATGAAATTTTGTCACAACCTAAGCAATCGAAGAAAACTGTGGACGTCCAAAGTTTACAGTCAAACACTTATAACCCACATCCATTTGTGGCAACGCAGACACAACCCATGTCACAAAGCAACTTACAGGGTTCAGCACAGCCAAAACCCCAAGTGGCCCCAAAGCCTGCGGTAAAAGGTGTACAAACTGCACCACTGTCAGAATCACACCCAAATTACCAGCCACAATATGTTCATACACCCAGCCAAAAACCTCCTCCTCAGGCTCCATTACAAACAAAACTGCCAGCACAAGAAAGACTTCAACAGCCACCGCTACAAATCACACAACCCAGAGCTAAACCCACTCCCAAATTGACCACACGTAGTCAGACTTTGTCGTCATCATCACAAAGCCAGACCTCGGAACAACACTACGCGTATCAGCCAATACAGCCGGTCTCAAAAACGCGTGCCTTCGACGCAGCAATGACGCCTCTGAAAACGCAGAATCGCGTGCTGTCACAACAGTCGCTGATCTCTAATAAGCAACACCAGTTCGACCATAAACAGGAACAGCAGCTGCAGTTGAATGATCTGCGTCGCAAAAGTCTTGGCAATGTCTACGACGTACAGCAGCAGCAACGCAAAGCCGCCTACATGTCGGAGACAAAGACAATAGTTAAACAGGAGTATAAGTCGTCGGCGCCAGCAGACACGCCAGACATCGTAAAGTCATCACTGCCCAAGGAGGATATGCCCATACTGAAAAAATTCGGTCCACCACAACGCCACCATTACATGCCCAATTCATATCAGAGTCCCACAGCTAATACGCAAACCAAAAAGTTCGAAAGCAGCACTAAGGTGATAAAGAATACAAAACATCAGATTGTTCAGCACTCAACGCTGACGAAGAAACCCTCTATTGTGGAAATCCCGGCCACACCGCAGCCGGATGAAGACCTCATACCGCGCAATATTGTTTTTAACAATATTAGCGCATTTACGTCCATGTCGCGTCGCCAGGAAGATCATGAGCACTCGCATTTTAACGCACACCCACGAACGAATCGTTTGAGCAAGAGTGATTCGTGGAATCAGATTGTACAAATGCAAAATCAAGCCAATATCCAGCAACCAGCGACATCGCCGAAGTTCGGCAACAGCGGTAGTGAATTGCGGCGCACCAAATCCGGGCACACTTTGAATGTGCGCATGTATGAGGCGGGCATAGATAAGACGGAGGTCGGTGAGAAACAGCGCACCGTGGCGGCTTACTTCACAGGCAAAAAGTCGCCCAATCAACTTGGTGGTGGCGAAGCAGTGGAAATGCGTTCAGCAATAACAAATGCAACAATGTCCACTGCAGCGACGGGAGCAAAGAAGTCGACTATTAATCGTCATAGGACTAGTGAAAAGATTTCGGCGAGTCGCAAATCGTTGACTGCAGTGACCAGTAACGGTATGCCAGCGCCTGCACCAACTATATTGGGCGGTGGGTTGACACGTAGCGCAACAATGCCGCACATAGCTAGTTTGAATCTGCTCGACGAGAGCAACGTTGAAGACGCGTTCGAGCAGCTGATGATGGGCTCGTAGGATGTAAGGCTTGCACGCTGAGCTGGGGTCACACGTGTGCCAACCATTCCAAATTGCAAAAGCGAGCCAACATAACATAAACGAAGTGCATAGTGCCTAAGAAAAAGTTTAGTTGGAGTTGTCAAGTGAACTCAAACTAAACCTCTACATTAAAATTAAAAAGTTACAATACCAAGTTCACGTTTACAGGCCAGTTACTGCCGGGTAACTCGCCGCGTTTCAAACGTTGTACAATAACAGTATAGTCAATTAATAATCTTTAGTGCGTTCCCTCTTGCCATATTTCTCAGTCTTCTCAATTATTTTACGTATTGTGACTGTTCTGCGACTCTGTACGTATTGACGTGAAGGAAAATGGAAGAGGAGGGACCACATGTTGTTTTATTATTGAAACTTTAACGCCGATTTCAATTTAACATCAATACACAGTCGAAGGCTAATATCATAAACCAAACAAATACCATTACACGCACAGTACACTAAATATTTGAGTGCACGAAATGGCTCAGTGACCATCGGAACTCCGCTAATGCCCACTTGGGTCACTAGCGATTGCATTAATGCAATGATGTCGAAATTGACGGAATGCCTGCCAGAAAGATTGCGCCCAGCAGCATATGTTAGATCAACAGCTTCATTTAATGCAAGAGGCCACACCGTTTATCTTGAAGACGATATGTTTGGTGTGACCACCACTTCAAACTTGAACTGTGCTCAACCTTCTACATATCTACTCCATTCAGTGTGAGTTCATCTGCGTTTTTCATGTGTCTCGCTTTTCTGACCTTCTCCACAACATTACAAACTGCTTTATCAGTGCGTTGTTCCAAACACTAACCTAAATAAAAAACGATACACACACTGTACTCGTACTATGGTATTTTTTGTTCAGTTTTAACGCCGTTACAGACTACAATGTTGACCCCAGCTCCTAGCCACGCCCAGTTTCACGCATAGCCCACAGCTCACAGCTCCAAATCCACCTGCCAGCTCGCCTGACCGCCTGACCGCCTGCCTAATAGTCAGCTCGCTCACTTACACGCTCGTTTACTTATCAACTCGTTGATTCGCTCGTTGGCTCGTTCGTTCGTTCGTATTCGTATACTGCTTGAGATATATCTTAACAATTAATAATGTTTAAACGAAAGTTTATCAGTGATTGATTTGGCTAAATCGATACAGCTACTAATGTTTAATCATATGTTTTTTGTAATAATAATTCAACCATGTTGTCCCTCCTTCTGTAAATACACATAAACCATACACATACGCGCGCATACTTGTACATATGGACGGCGTATCATTACTGTACGAAAGAACTTATTTTTACACGTGTACATATATACATACATACATACATATATACATTTTTGTTGGAGAAAATGTTTGCAAATGATAGGGTGAACGAGTGTGGACCCCGACTGACGATTGGCTTGGAACGCATGCATTTTTGAATACGCAACGAGTGCGAAGCGATGTTCTGTTTTCTAGAATTACTCGTTGCGCCTAAACTCGTCTTTTTTGGCTTTTCCTTTATATGTTATTACATACATACATATGTACATACATATGTGTGGCGCATACATTTGCACATTGTTAAATTACACATTCGTTGATTCGCGCGGTTTTGCATGCGATTTTTCTGTTCAATTTATATTTCATGCTATTTATTGTTGGGAGTGTGAAGTTTATTTACTTAGTTTGTGTGTATGTTTTTGGTTGCTTTTCGGAAACGTGATGGAAAAAAGCAGGAATTAAAAAAAAATATATATATTTAGGAATATAAACCACATTGTTTAAAAAATTGGTGCATTTGTATCGGGCTTTTGTACGTAAAAAAATTTGACAATGCTTCTTTCTCATATTCTTTTATTTTTGCAATTTTGTTTTGTCATTTAAATTTTTATCTTCATAATTTATGCTTTTTTATGGATTGTAAATATTTTTGTTTTTGACAAAAATTAAAAAAAATTGATATGATTCCAAAAATTGTGAAAATCCTTAAAAATCATTTTCTAAGTGATGCCCACATGATATTTTTTATTCTGATTCATTTTTGCTTTCTTATTTCCATAATTTCTTCTTTTCTATTTTACATAAGACATTATATTGCCTTTAATTTGATATACGAGTATTACTGCTTTCAATCGTTTCTAATTTGAAAGGTCTCAGAGAAATTGTTATTTCTTGAGATGTTGGTCTTATCTTCATTGATAAGAAAAACGTGAATTTGGATATCGCTCTATATACATATGTATATAAATCTGCCAAAATACAAGTTTAAAAATTGTGGAAATTTGTCAATGCGACAACATATTTTACATGGAGGTTCAACGATTTAGTTTCTGGATTTTTTTATTTGCAAATAAATTGAAATTACATTTTGAACATGGTAAAAACCTTTTGGGGTCAGAATAATGCAACGTTTGCAATCGATTTATTTAGTTGTGCTTTATTTAAACCGTTTTGAAATGGGTTTGCGATCATCTATTATTCAAGAAGACTTTGAAAAAATGAACGCGAGAGTTTTAGCAGTTTAAATATAAAAAACCTGTAAAATAAATAGTGTGTATGACACTGATAAACGATCGTTTTTTGTACAAAGTGTTTTTGGAGAATTATATGTGCATATAACTTTGTGTTTGTCCATTTAGAAGATCCTAACTAATTGTTTATTTAAATAGAAAATTGTTTTGTCCATTAGATTGTTAAAAGTAGTTGCAATAAATTGGCTTTTGTTATTAAAGAATAATACTAAAAATGGTTGATATGATTAAATCGATTCATGTATGAAAATTGGCTAATTGCCTTTAATTCCTAATTTAAGTTTGAGAATATACTATGTACATAAGTGCTAATACATTTTATGTATTAGTAGTTGTACCTTGTACCTTGAGCTATTTTCAAACATGAATCGAATTAATTATGGTGTATCAACAGAGTTTGTTGATAACTTTTGTATATGAAATTTGTTTACACAAAATATATGTATGTATATAGAATACAATGTATTTAATTAACGCATGCTACATATTTTTGTTCTCTTTTTTCTATATTTTTGCAATTTTTGTGCTTTACAAATGCTTCAAACCGACATAAAACAAAAATAAAAACAAACAATAATTCCATGCAAAACACAAACAAATATAATTTCTTCAAATACTCACCTCTACAGAGCAACAAGCTACATCCACCACTGAAAAAACAGAAACAAAGGAAAAGGATGGCGCCGTTGTAACCACAACAACTAAGGGTAAACATTTTTCTAATATTTTTTAATTTATTGTTGTTTTTTTACTTTTTTACTAAAATTCAATTTAATTTTCTTTTTGCAGTTACAACACGCACAGTAACTGGCGCTGGAAGCACAGCAGCGAAGCCAGTTTCACCATTTGCGAAATTCCGTCAGCTGGACAAACAAAACTCACAACAATCTCCAAAGTAAGATATTATTTTTTACATTTTATTTTCTACACTATGATAGCCACTAAGATAAGTCTGTCTCATAAAAAAACAGAAAAAACAAAACAAATTTACATGCATACATGCATATGTACCTATGTATGTCTCACAAAAAACTATTAAAAAAATACAAACATACATACGTTTACACAATTAATTAAATACTGCAACATAGAAAACATTGTACAAAATAATCGGTAGTCGAAAAAGTCTTTTCGTATTTCTGAACTTTAATTTACCAAATATGTACCATTTTGGTCGACCACTTTGTGCAATTTTTATCGCTAGAGACATTATTCCATTGGTGTAAAACTTTTCTGGTTTCACGACGAAAAACTGCGGCAAGTAATTTTCACAGGCTTATCATGAAGCTAACTTTACTCTATTAAGGGAGCTCTGCACTGACCGAAATAAATACTCGTATTAGTCCTATGGTGCAATGTTAACTCGGTCCATTCAATTTTTCACAGACAATTCATGTAGTACCCAAACATCGAGCTTCGTTTTTTAGCCAGCTTTTTTTAAATGGTTCGAAACCGTTTAATGATGAATGCTTAGTTCCCTAGCATTGTCATGGCTGTTTATCGATATTTCATCGATTTTTTCAATGATAGGTCGACCAGAGCAAGGTGCATCATTCAGATCGAAATTTCCAGAACGGAAGCGAGAGGACTATTGGTGTGCTACATGAACTGATACAGCATCGGCTTGCGTGGCATTCTCCCTATTTTTTACAAAAATTCCATAATATAGCTAGTGTCTTCATTATTTCAACTCACATTTGAACAGCTGTAACTTTTAAACTTTTAAACCCGAATTTAATTTTTTTTGGTTAAATGAAGCTTAAAGCCTCATCTTTCTAACGCTATATGGTATGACCCAATGTGATTGGTAGCACTGGAGAGATACGACAGCAACGATATCTATACAACAAAATACGAAAATACCTTTTCAACTACCCTATATATTGGTTCTATAAATTATATATATTATACATACATATATAAATATAATCTTGACTATAGAACCAAAATAACTGTAAAAAAAATCAAAATCATTTAGGAAGAAATTCCAATTACTTACACATATCTAAACAAGACAAAATGTTAACTTCGGTTGCATCGAAGCTAAATACCCTTCATAGGTGCATTTCTGTTAGCAACTATGAGTTCAGTTTACTTGGAAGCTATATGCTATAGTAATCCGTTCTGACAAATGAGAGGCTTCGTGAAGAGAAAATGACGTTTGCAAAATTTCAAAAGGATATCTTAAAAACTGAGGGACTATATACATACTTCGTATATATACAGACGGACAGACAAATGGACATGGCTAAATCGACTCAGCTCGTCATACTGATCATTTATATGTATGTTCAGCTTATAAAAATACATATGTGAATATCTGACTAATAATTTCGGCAAGTCGAAGGCGACGCATGTACGAGTACATACCTTTTTATGCTATTTCACGATTTGCGGCGTATATTGTTGAAAACACTGCTCCGATTATTATTATTAGTTTAAATTCTCATATAACTAACATTAGTATTTCAAAATGAAAACAGAGCTCATTTGACATGATTTTTAAATATGTGAACTAAACTCAGATGGTGATGGAAATCTCTATCTCACATACTATCTCTCACTCTTTATTTCTCTACCAAGAAGTCTTTATTTTATACTAAAATTAGGGTGATGGTATCTGTAATTATTATTATAAAACTAAACAACTCATTATCAGCAATAATTCTAGTATTTGTGAAATTAACTCTAAGCTAGAACTCACGAAACATTAACGTCGAATACCGAAATTTACTGTTTTTTAGTTTAATTTTTCAATTTTGCATACAACAAACCAACACAAGAACTCAAACCAATTAAAAAGCGTTGACTTTCAACTTCAGACCCTTCTATGCTGAAAACACTACTTCAAAGTATGCGCTCGCAGCCAGTTAAAATTTCTAAAATTCTACAAAACACGCTCACAACTTAGTGCCAGTTTGAGTAGATTTTCTATATTGAATTAACTGAAGCATGAAATATGCAAGAAATAAAATCGAAAATTTTAATACGGTAGTCAAAGACGAAACCAACCAACAAAGTAGAACTAATCCCTAGCGAACAATTTCAATTTGCTACAATGTTGCTTAAAAACGTTAAAACCCTTTGTTCAGATCACCGTCAACACCCACCACCCCCGGGGGCACAGCCTCATCTTCTGGTTCCGCACGTATATTCCAATTTACTGATCCGGCATTAAATGCACGCGCCGCCACTGTGAAGGAGCAACTTCTGCAGTGGTGCCAATCGAAAACACAGGAATATGAGGTATCACTTTTAATGTCAATGTCAAAACCAAAAGTAAAATACATAGGCGTTGCAATCATATCAATATTTCTTGCTATTTGTTCTACAATTTTTACTAGCAACCAGCAATTATATCGCTAAGGAAACGGCCAGCTAACGGTCGCTAACGAAAGCTTAAAAAATTGCAATAACTCTGCAGGCCTCTTGTAATATGTACTACAACTAATACACTAAATTTATACAGAGAAATAGTGTAAATACATACTAATGCTGTATATAGTGACCATCCTCCAGCTTTTCAATTACGTATAATTGGAGAAATGCTTCTGAGTCTGCTTTGTTCAGTTTTATGCCTTATCTTACTCCTCTTTAATGTACTATATTTTTGACATAGATTTTAAAATTTTATATTTTTTCATCCGTTTTATTAAAAAAATAATATTTATTTTACATTTATTTTCGCATAACTGCTGTAATATTTAATTTTAAATATTTTTTTTTTACCTTTATTTTCATTTATTTATTTTTGACCGTGATTTTAGCGCTAATTTGCTCTAGTTGTTGTTATTGTTTTGTGTTTCTATGTTGTCCTGCCATGTAACAGTTTTATTAAAAATATTTCAACTCTTTTGCAGAACGTCCAAATAAGCAACTTTAGTGCCAGCTGGTCAGATGGTTTAGCATTTTGTGCGCTAATACATCATTTCTTGCCAGATGCCTTCGATTATAGTAAATTAACACCTCAAAACCGAAGACACAATTTTGAATTAGCTTTCACTGTGGCCGAGTAAGTACAACAAATACACTGCACCTTCTATCCACACAAATTATATAGTGAAATATAAATATTTGTCTTCAAATTGCAGTGAGAAAGCTGGCATAGCGCCACTACTCGATGTCGAGGATATGGTAGAGATGAAACGACCTGACTGGAAATGTGTTTTCATCTACGTGCAAAGCATCTACCGTCGCTTCCGTAATTGCCAGTAAATGCGACTCAAGCGTTGTAAAAATCAAACATAACAACATCTTCGACATCCACAACTCTAAATCCGGTCACTACCACAAATAATCCACTCATACTAATCCAGCATTGCCTTGTCAACGCACAACAAAAGTGTTGACTGTACTAAAATCAGCCGAAATAAATGGTTAGGGCTCTACGAGCGTGTTGAACTTAAAAGAAAACTAATTGCTGTAAAAATTGAAATATTGAATTATTTTATTTATTGGTTATAAAAATGTTAACAGTTAAAAATGCAAGCCATAAACCATTTTTACTACTCTTTTGATCTGGTTCGTGCGTAGTTGAAGTCACAGTGCTTTTGTAATTGAGATCTACGCACAACAATAATGCAGCTAATTCGACATTAGCGACTTTGTCTAAAACTTTACTATGTATGTCTACATTTCTATTTAACAATCAATTATTGGTGGCACAGAAAAGCATGAAATTGTAAAAAAAGAAGTCTTCTTAATTGCGAAATGTTAAAGGAGCAAACTATGTTATTGATACTAAATATATTATATTTACTTTTATATGTATGTGCACACATACTAAGAATCTTATGAATAATACATTTGACTAAATACATACGTACGTTTCGATATACTCCAAACGGAACCATGCCTACTACATACAATATATGCTAACATTATGTTTACTGCAATAAATATACACACACCCAATACACATACATACATACATGCGAATGATTTTTTTATTTAAATTTGTCTATTGAAATGTGGCTGCATTGCATACACACACAACCATATACATGACATAATATACATATTCAACACAAAAACACTCACTAACTTAACAAGCGTAATAGAATTTATATGCCTGCATATTTATGTATGTATTGATATTACACATGAACTCATTTTTATTCGATTCAACAAAATTTCTCAGCAGAATTTGATGTGTGTTAAAAATTGTGCGATATTAAATTAAAGCAAAACAAACAAAGATTATTTATGGGAGTCTAACTTTACAATTTTTATATTATTTGTTTCAAACAACATATATATTTGTTTTTGTATATACTAATTGTTGCTATGAAAATAAAAGAATTAACATTTTCGAGCTACAAAATCTGGAAACATAGTTCTTCTTTAAGAGGAAATATTCTCGATCACGTAAGTGGATTCAAGTTAATTATTTAGTACTAACTATTTCAGCAAATATACGATGAAAACGAGTATGATTTTTATTAAAGAGAAGAAAAAGCATTAACTTCACCTGCACCAAAGCTAGAATACCCGGTTAATTTTTACAAAAAGTAAACATCAGTCAAAATATTGGGTTGTCGAAAAAGTCTTTTCGTATTTTGTCAATAGATGTCATTGCAGTCGTATGCTACCAATCACTTGTGTATGGTATGACACAAGTTGTATTGGAAAGGTGAGTTTTTAAGCATTTTTTCATTTAACAAAAATAAATTAAATTCGGGAAGTTGAAAAAATGCTACAGCTGTTCAAAAAAGAGGCATAATGAAGAAATTCGCTATATTTTGAAGTTTTTGTATAAAAAAGGGAAGAATACCACTCAAGCCAGCAATGAAAGTTGTGAAGTTTACGGAGACAATGCTAAATCAGTTCGCGTATCACAACAATGATTCGCTCACTTCTGTTCTGGAAATTTCGATTTATAGTTCACTGATGAAAGGATGTCTTCAGATGGTACATACATATGTATTTGTTTATTTATTTATTAGTATATATATATGTATAAAAAGAAGTTGAACTTTGATTAGAAATACGAAAAGACTACCAATAAAAATGAATATTATTTTTCTTTAAAGAGAAGAAAAACGTTAGCTTCAGCAGTACCGAAGCTAGAATACCCGAGTTAGTTTTTACAAAGAGTAAAAATAAGTCAAAAAGATATATTTTTGTGAGCTGGACCGAATTGTGCACTCTTTATTAATACTCTTCAGGTGTAACTATTTACATGGGTCTTCATTCTATTTATACTAACTAGTATGTTTACTTATTATTACTAGTTGAAGGTTTGTTTAGATAGAATAGATTGTTTGTTTAGGTTTGTTTACATAAATCTTAGGGCTAATTATACCTGTAGTATTGAGATGCCGGTCATTTACTAGTTGATAACAATTTGCATTGTTATTGTTTGTTGCGGTGATAGTGCATTTCTATTGTTCCAAGATAAGGTTGTTTCGATGTATTTTTTTTAATGATATTTTATATTTTTGATATATTATGTTTAAATTATAAGGACTACGTTTCCTAACCACCGTCACTTACATTGTGACAAAATAGGTACTCGGAAATGGTAAATAAAACGCAAAATGTTTAATTATTTCTCAATATTTGTCTTCTCGTCTCATCCCAAATAGATGTAAAACACTTATTTTTGGGATGGCCTTAAGCTTTTTCATAACATTTTGTTTTAACTCTTTCATCGACTGAAATTCAGGGTTCCACGGAAGGACAATTTCAGTTTGGGGAATAAGAAAGACACATAAGATGGTTATCAATATATTCTTTGCACTTTTGGTCACAATCGTACTTTTTTTGAAAAAAAATTCAGCTTTATCGGAACGAGTCTAGCAAGAACTCGTTTCATACCCAAAATTCCAAAATATCCACCAAAATCATTCGAACGGACTCGTGAGAGATGTCGAGCTCTCTCGTCATCTCTTTAACACCTGCCTTACGATTTTCCTGCGACATATACTGCACTTTTTTAATATTTACATCAGTTGCAGAAGGTCGTCCAGAACGAGGCATATCTTGTACGAACCCTCGACCGTCTTTGAAGGCTTTTTACCACTCGTAGGCTTGTGTTTTTGATAAATCTGGATTACCGTAAGTCTTTTCCAACATTCGCAGCGATTCGCAAACGAAATTTGTTTAGAAATACAAAATTTGAGACGAATTCCTTGTTCGATATTTTTATCCATTGTAAGAATCGCAGAGCTCTACGGAGCCACTGCAGCTCCTATACGTTAAAAAACTGGTTGAAAGACAGCCCTATCAACACAGCAAAATACATTTTTCCAAAAATCGTTTATCCAGTATGAACAATTTGTTTAACATTGACTTGGAAAATAGTTTATGCTAAATTTTGTGATGAAAAAGTTTTCCATACAAGAACATGAGTGCGATCGGTCCGTTATATGTACGTATAAAGAGTCCAATGTCGACAGTTCCAACAAACGGGCAGAAAATTTTAGACTCTCGGTTTTTGTTTGAAACTTTGAAATTACTACTTGAAGTGTCTGATGTAGAGTTGTCAATAAAAATAATTTAATATAAATAGTTCCAAATTGTAAACCAAATTATTTGTTTAAAAAACGGTCGAACAAATTTAACGTATGTACATATTTCTCATTGGAAAGCTGATTTTAACTTTCAAATTATTTTTGGAAATTTATAACTCCAAAAATATTCATATTCTGTTGGAATAACAAAAGATGTGTTCAATATTTTACAAAAGAGCACAAAAAATATATTATGATCGAAAAACATGTTTGAAGTTAATTTTTGGATAGATTTCTAGAAATAAGTAGAATGAATGAATAGATGAGAATCGTATAAAGAGCTAAGGGCTATCTCAAATTTCGATTTTGAGAAGTCTTTCAACGTTATCTCTAGAAGTATCATTAATAATATAAAATATATTCGAAAGATGGCAGTTCAAAAAGTTTAGAACATAATTTTTTGCCACTTGATAGCATTTATGTACTTCTCACCCACAAAGGCCTACTCCTTACAATCCAATGTCAATTCGAAATTTTCGTGGACTCTGAAGCCGAAAATGCTGTCACTTTACTTCGAAATAAATGAAAAAATATATTAAAAATAGTTTCGTATGAGAATTCCAGAAAATTCAAACAAAATTGTTAGTTGACCAGGTAGAGTAGTTCTTTGAAAGCCTCAAGCTGCAGCAGCCAGCGCCTCCAGACACTTCGTGTTCTTCCGCTGTCGCAGTTTCTCAAACATCGACTTCAGTTTCGATACCACCAGCACCGCCTCCGCCGCCTCCACCGCCGTCATTGCTGCCAAGAGCCCGAACAACGCCATTCGGCGCTCTGTCATCGCTACCATCTACGTCAACATATCCACCACCAAGACTACGGACGAACGGCATGCAGGGACTATCGGAGGCGACGGCCATACGTTTATTCAACAGTGTTGTGACAACGGAACAAATAGCTGGCCCGACAACTGCGCTTAATGTCAATTCCATAACGTCGATCAATGCGGTAGACGAGTGCAAATCGATCACAACCATACAGTCTACGAATGAGTTCGGCAATGCTTGTCGCATTTGCCGTTGCAATCGGAGTGACATGCAATTGTCGCGTTGTCCGTGCCAGTGTCGTGGCAGTGTGGTAAGCGCTCTTGTAATACGCGATTGAGATGAGCTGAGTCTAAACGTTCTTCTTCAGGGGTTCGTGCACATGCCGTGCTTGAAGCGTTGGATTTTGCATCGGCGTGACACGCGCTGTGAAATATGCAACACACCGTTCGATGTGCCAGATGAGAAGTTAAACGTGCGTCGCATGCTGAACGCGCTATTCTGTGCGCGTTGTGGCGGCGCCATCATAAAGCACCTGCTCTTTAGCGTGTCCCTGCTGCCGCTGGCGCATGTCGTTCTGCAGCAAGTACTCATTTGCATGGACAATATTAATGCGAGCCCCAACGAGCATTTGACGGTGCAAGAAGTGATGGTGGCTTCATGCGCGCTCTTGACATCAAGTATTTAGCTAAAGCTTACAATTCATTTCTCAATATGATTCTCTTCTCTTTTACACTTAGGCGCACTTTTCTTCCACTTCTTCGAGTTTATAACGACGCGCTTTCTAATTATTCGGAACATTTTGCATCAGTGGTGGATGTTTGGCAATCAGGAGAATTTCACAATCATCGAGGTGGACAGTGAATATTTCGATGTCTTCTAAGTTGTCACCAACGCAATCGAATTGTTTGACGGGCCAAAAATTTTAAAATATCCAATGTATTAGAAACAATTTATATACGAAATTAGAAAGGGTAAATTATTTCAAATAACGGAAGTTAAAGCAGAAGCCGCTTGATAAAATTGTTACTTCCATTTATAGCACACATTTAGGCGCAAGTTTGAACATTTGTCACTTATCGCATGCGATAAGTAATATTGAAATTTTGACACCTAACAGTACGTATTGAAATTTTGTTTTCTCATTTTTGTAGCTTGAAATCTGAGCATTGTAAAATGAACTGAAAAATACTTTGAGAGAAAATTGAATGCTCAACATGAACAGACATAATAATAAATAATAAAACAATTTAATCACGATCCCGTGGAATATAAGATAAAGCGTGAAATAACAAAACGCAATTGAAATCAATTTATCAGAAAAAAAAGAAGTAACATTTTGAAGTGACCGGTTGATGTATTTGTCTCGAATCTCTATTAGGTTATTGTACCGATATACCTATAAAGAATGTCATGCCGCCACCATTCACAATGAAGCCATAATGCAATTGTGGCACCAAAAGACGAACTCATCAACGAAGTATTCCCAAACATTATTACTAACCACAAAAATAATGAATAGTTGAGAGAGCGAGCAATCTTGACGGCTAAGAATAACGATTTATTTGATTTATACTTACATAATTCAGAATGAGATCATTGGTACACTGCATTCTTTCAAATCAATTGACCGTTTAAGAAATGAAGATGAAGCTGCTACCTATCCAATTAATGTGCCAGGCTTACCACCACACAATTTACGACTAAGTAAATAAACAAATTACCTTGATAAAACTAAAAGTCTGTTCATTTATTACCCCTAAGGCCGGGTCAGTTCGCCGAGTATTTTAAACATATGCTGCATATGTATGGTTTGCATCTGGAATATCCATGTTTTTCCTGGCATTTTAAACACTTGGAGGAGAACACAATTTTCCAAATGTGCGCAAACTATGTGAAAAAGGAAGTGAAGCGATAAAGGTTGAAGTGGAAAACACTTAAAATGAATTGAAGGTCATTTGAGAATCAGCATTTAATTGCATTGAAGATGACATAGCCCAGCTTTGTCGCTGTCGGGGTGAAGGCATTTTAAAATATCAAATACCACCACTATATAAATATGCAAAAATTTTTGATACGAAATATTAAATCTCTTTTTTTAACTTAGGGTGAATAAACTACCAAAAAAGATAGCTCGATTATTATGCATATCACGTGATGATTCGTTAAAAAAATTATTTGTTGTGGTTTCATTGATTGTTTCAGCAATATTGCGTCGACATGAACTATTAAAAAAAAATAATGTCGAGAAAATTTTCATTTTTTTTTGTAAAAATGTCTGCTAAAAATCCAATTTTCAGTTTTTCCCTTCGCCCAAGTTCTAACATAAGGTTTTAACTAAAACACATATTTTTCACTTTAGATGATCCTGTAAGGAGTTATCCTGCCAATGCGGGCGTATATTTTTTCCGGGAAGTCACCGGAAATGGCGTCGGTATAGCCGAGTTTAGAATATTGTTTACCAAAACTTTCAGAATTTCTTTGTTAGTAGTGTATGTTTGTAACAATAAAAAATCATAATAAAATATTTCTTTTTTATAAGAGAGAAAATTGTTGCAAAAAGGCTGTAATTTAAAAAAGAAAGTTGTATAAATATGACATATCCTAATACAAAAAGGTCAGGAAATTGCGTCGTTGTTGAAATCTTCAGGTAGACAGATTTTCTTTGTAGTGATAGAAAACAAGGATAGCAATGGAAACTAATCATGTGCGGACTGTACCTTTATAAATACATATAATTTAAATACTTTAAATTTAAGTATTTATATGTATATATTTGTAGACGTATTTTTGTTCTATTAAGGCACAAAAACTGAAAAAAATTTTCCCGGAGCATGTGTTATTCAAAAATAAAAATGAAAATTCATATGTTTGTCGCAAATGCAAATCTCTATAATAGTACAAATATTTAAAGTAAAACTATATATTTTTATCTTAACAATTTTTAGTTTATTAGTTCATTATCAATGCTCATACTAAAATTATATTGAAAGGGATTTTCAGTGTGCAAGCGCCATTTAAACTATTGTTTGCAAAGGCACGCAAGTCTTTTATTTTGACTACCTGCTTTCGGTAGTGAAATCAAAAATACCTACAGTTATTTCCTTCACTCACACATCTACTGTGAGTGAAATTTACACCTGGTTCGTGTCATATAATATATGTTAGTATTGGAGAAGCTTAGTTTTTGTAGACTTTTGGTATCGGTTAGCACAGTGGTAATTTTTTTGTAGAGTGATTGATTACAAATTTAAATTTTTTATATTTTTTTTAATCATTTTTAAAATTTTAAAATTAAATTAGAAATATTTCTAACACGATTGTTTATTGAAATACATTAGAATAAAAATTGCAGGTATTGAAATATTATATAAGAAAATAATGAAAAATGTATACATAACATAAATTCCATATCCTCATATTTTTTTAAATTAAGTATTTTTACTAAATGCTGCGTTATTTTTATTTAAACACACATAAATATCAAATTTGATCTAGAGACAGTGCCATGCGCTAAAATATTATCCAAAAATTTCTTTATAACCGGGTGGCAAGCCTACGCGCGTATGTGTGTAGTCACATTACATGGCATCACTACCACTGATGACTCTCCACGGAAAAGCAATCCTCTTCAGTAGTCTTTTGACGCTTGCTTGCATCAGACGCACAAAATCGAAAGTTAGTTTGAGTGTTTCGAGGTTGTGTGAATAGTGTTGATCTTCGCGTCTTAATAATTCTGAAAATAATAATCAATAGTAATGCTCTTGATAATTAAAATCTGAAGAACGTAGCTCGAACATTTGATCATAAAAGTATATTGATGCAAGTCTTAAAAACTTTGAATGTAAGCAGAACTATTTTGGCGGGAAGTGAAGTGAAATTTTTAAATTTGTACAAATAATGACACCGCGGTTCTTTAAGAACACTCCTACATTGTACAAACAATGCATTAATAGTTTCCTAGATAATCTGCAACTGAAACAGTTAACCAGTCGGCAGTTAGAATTTATGCCAATAGCACTTGTTATTGATATTTTGCTCCATGTAAGTACCATCCATATGTCTTCTAAAAATAAAGTTTTATGTACGCGGAAACCACAGCAGTGAAATCCTCTCCTGAATATTTACTATACAAAAAGATCGATGGTTTTTCCCTTTTCTAAGATTTGAATTGGTTTTAAATAAACGACGGATAAAGAGTGAAAAGAAGGTTGGTTAGATCTATGAATTTAAATAGGACTAAATTCTAAACGCACAATTAAAAAATCGTTATCATTTATATCAACCTATATTAATTTATATAACTGTAATTAATTTGTGCATTTCTTTCGCATGTGATCTTCACAGAAATGTTTGTAGGTACAATAAGGTTTTTGTAAAAACTGCTAAAAATAGAAAAACTGCTAAAAAATAGTATATAAATAAACGCTTTATCCGATGCTGGTTGTTACTTTTCATTGGGGGTGTTTTTTTACGTGGCGGGTCCTAAACCCAGCGCACAACCCTATGTGGGGGATGTTTCGCCTTCAAACGGATGTTCTTAGGCTTGGTCAAAGACCGGAAGTCGTGAGCTGCTTGAGTCATAAGTAAAAGAATCGTTTCTGCCCGTACGAGATATACGACGACATTGATATAATTCAGCGAATTAAAAGACAGCGGCTAGATGATGTTGTCCGGATGGACGAAAACACTCCAGCTCTGAAAATAATCGACGCAGTACCCGCCGGGGGGAGCAGAGGAAGAGTTGGAAGGACCATGTGGGGAAGGACCTGGCTTCACTTCTAATATTGGCACCGCGTAGCGAAAAGAAGAAACGACTGGCGCGCTGTTAACTCGGCTATAATCGGGTAAGCGGTGTCTACGCCAGTAAGTACAGTACACTGGAGTCGGTATAATCACGTTTAGTTGAAATCACATATCTTAGGATCTAATCGACAAATCGACCACAACCACGTATACGTTCTATATAACACTATTTTAAACTCCCTTTGATCAAAAACTGTCAAAATCAGACTAAAACTGTAAAAGTCCTCAGATAACGAATAAAGGGCCCCAATTTCTATGGCGAACTTTTTATCGAAAATGTTGGTCAATACGTGAGATATACTATTGGAATTAGAAGTGATTTATGTTAATGAATTTGAAACATACAAGTATCTTAAGTTAACATTTTTGTGATAATTATTAGCATATTCATACATACATATCTATGCATTTATTTTAAAACAGAATTTAGTATCCTCAAACTGGTAAATTTTCATTATTCAAAAATGATTTATGTCTTGAACCATATAAAATAAGAAATAATTGTTTTCCAAAAACTCGTTAGTTCAAAATAGCATATTTTCTACTTTTTCCCTTTTGCTCTTAAACTATTGTCATCCTCATCAAATTTCGAAACGGCTCAAAAGTTCAGACATGTGCTTCTATGTATACTTCGAACTTGCCTGGAGTCGAAAGAGATATTTCTGAGCTGCACCGAAACTGTACTCTTTATTAATACTCTTGAGACTAACTTACTACATGGTTCTTGCTTCGATTGTATTTCTACTAACGAGTATGTTTTCTTATTACTAGTAAAGTTTCTTTAGATATAATATATTGTTTGCTTAGGTTTGTTTACATAAATCTTAGTGCTAATTATACCTGTATTATTGAGATGCCGATTGTTTACTAGTTGATAACTATTTGGGTTGTTATAGTTTGCTGTAGCGATAGGACATTTCTATTGTTACTAAGGCTGTTTTGATGTATTTTCTTTAATGTTTCTGTGTACATTCTGTTTATGTTATAAGGAATACGATTCTTAACTCTGGTCGACGCCATTTTGCAAATGATTGTTTCATCGTGATAACAAATGGCCACACATTCCCAATGACAATAAATTTGATAGTTTTAGCAAAGGCTATTCGAAAATCCAAAGAAATTATTAGGGTTAATGCTGAGACGCTGAGGGATGAACATGGATTCTTCAGACAGTTCTGATAAAACTGAAAACTCCTGTATTATATGGAGTGACCATCATAAGGTAGTCCAAAAAAATTGAAAAATAAACGGAAACAATTTTATGGATATGTCAGATGAGCTATCCATATATTTGCATACTACAGTTGGAAGGCTAGCATAAAATCCTCTTGAAATATGTAATGATTTACAAACAAAATTTTCTGAATTATGTAAAGTAGGTTTTTAATACTTAATAATTAGTTATGTCAGTTCCATCTGATTGTTTATGTTAGTTATAATTGAAAGACCGTGTTTTACCCTTAACAGTATACCTTTTTGTCTAAATTTAAAGATTTTATCCATAATCGGGTGAAAATTTGACCTAGCCCCCGTATAACTAATATCAAGATTTTCGAATATCTGGCCGACTTTACTACATATGTTGATTGCATGCGAGGAACTTTGATTAAACCTTGGGAACATTTTATTAGTCTGTTCCCTTCTGTCTGTAGTATTGACAAAAAGAGATCAGGTCAAATAGGGGATCAGATCAGGTCAATACTATCTCCTATATACCTCATATAAAATCTTCAAACTTTCGTCAAAATTAACTGAACGTATAATGCTAAAAACTTTGTCCTTCCTTATAAATTTACCTACAGGTAAACTTATTCAGATTTTAGTTTTAAATACTCTCAGTATTATATTAACTATTTCGAAAAATTAAAAAAATATTCGAATTGGTACAGTCCATAATTAATAAATTATATAATGTGAAAAATGTAACATGTTTG